TCAATTTCCTTTCTCTAAGTTTTATTTCTATATTGTCCCTCAGTGATTTTATAATTTATAATTTTATAGTTATTATGATTTTATAATTATATTAAGTATAATTAATGGCCTGTAGCTTTAATGCCCTTGTGTATTTGTTTTGTGTGTCTTGTTACAGTTTTTATTTCTCTTATCAAGTAAACGCATAAATAAACGCTGTTACAGGTCTAAACTTTCTCAAGTGTATGATTTAGTGGTCTAGGTAAACACAGATTTTTATCAATCACGAATATATACCCTTTTAAAGTTGAAAAACAGTGCTACCTTAGTAGTTAAAGGAATATATTTTAAGGTCGTTTTAAAGAGTGATCCTGAATTGTCAGAAGTTTAATCAGTTCCATCCTGATGCACACAGCATGATGTTAACTTTATCAATTATTTCACAATGTGCATTTCAAAAAATCTTTTAAATATCTTCACACATACAGACATCCAGTATACACTCTAATAGGTACTGTAATTTCATATACATCATACTACAGTAAGTATTTTATAACTTAATAGAGTAACCCAGTGTGCCATCAAATCCCACTGTTATGATGTGTATAAAAGTGCTATATATTTTACAAGAATTTTCAGTAATCACTAATTCTCAACAAGATGTCTATTATAAAGATCAAAAGGACTTTTTCTGAACTAAAAATAAAATGTAATTGTCTCATTAACAATGGTAATCAAAGTTTTAGAGGAACAATTCAATTGGCAAATTAAATTGAACAAATTGAATTTTTACATGACTAGGTAACTAAAGATATACTACTCCTACTGATTAAACCATCACTTGTAGCTTATGTATACTGCGATCAGTCTAACTTGCTTGGAAAACACAACTTGAGGCAGAGTTTAACAATTATGTTTAGCCTAAAGAAGTAACATTTCAGAGTGTAAGAATGTGATGACAAACTACATTTTGATATGTAGAACATAATCATGCCATGTAGATTGCACTATCAGAATGCTTAAATGAGAACAAATTCACTTGTTTTGTAAGTAATATTTGCTTGCTGGTTTTAACACCCTGCCACAAGTCAGTAACATTTTGGGGTCTACTTGTAGAAGCTAGAAGTAGTGACTACCTCACTTTACAACATAACAAAGGTCTGTCACATGCCATCTAGAGCTATTGGGTTAAAGAGCCTTATACATGGACACAACTATAACGCATACCAGTCTGTTTCTCAACTTCCTGAGAAATACAAGCCACTGCAGGAAGGAGTGTCAAACCACACTAAGTACACATTTCTTCACCTGAGGTTGCATAGACAAAGTGACGGAGCTACCACAGTCCCTTCTAATGCCAGCAAATGAAACACTAGAAAGCTGCATCATATCTTTAGAGTAAAAAAATGGTAATGTTGTTGAAAGAACTCAAGGAACATTATCCCAGTAATTTTTTGTAGGATTTTTTTTCTGCAAGTCCATTCCAAAATTTTGATGAGTCCCAATACTAAGACATAGTGGGTTCTCAAAATTTGAGTCTCACAGGAGAAGCATGAGGCTAGGACTCAAATATCTGAGCCCCATAAAACAGTGCACTCTACTATACCCTGATCTACTGGTTGTGGATTTAACCCTGTAGGTCACGAGAAAACTAGTTATTGTCAATATTTTGATTTTTGGTAGTTTGTAAGGAAAGTTTGCAATATGGTAAAATGACTCAAACTTCTTCAGAATTTCTAAATTGTCCTTTTATGATGAATAGAAATTAAGATTCATCCATGAAATAATCAAGTATGCATTTCTGGTTTCCATACTGTCTGAAACATTTTTGACAGCTGGATATGGTCATCTTTGAAAATTTTAAATATGTTTTTTTTAAAAGTCATCCATTATTTATATCAGATGCCACAGAAAAGTAAAAAGAAAATCTAAGTACTAACAACAGATGCACAAAAATTTATGAATAGATATGAATGTCATTTTGGTGACAGATGTCCATCACAGATCTGGTAATATGTACATATATAATGTTGATCTGGCAAATCAGCAATGCTCTATCTCACCAGCTGACAGATCTACACTGTATTTCAATAACTCCATCACTATATATAGTTACCATGTTCAAATATATGATTATAACACAGTGTCATTATCATTAGTCAAAATCCAATACAACATAGTGTCATATATAATTGCTAGAATACAATGGAATATTTAATTATTCAGATATTTGTAGAAATTGTGAGATCAGTTATGAATAACAAAATCGCTAGATTTTTCCTGGTGCAACCATCCATAACATGAAATGGATCAATTCACACTGATCAGTAAAAAGAAAACACTTACAGAAGGGGATATGAAATATAAATAACATACATTTTTTTTAAATCAAGACTTGAAAAAAGAAGTTAATAGATTGTTTTGGCAGATCAGCCAAGACACCATCCTAGTAAGACTTTTACAAATAAGTCTTTCAAATAAGTTTATTCATCCATTATTTCTAGAAGAAAGCCTAAGGTGAGTGTATGATTATTGGGACAGATGTGCTTATAAGGTTGAATGCAATACTCTTAATATATGGCTAACTGTCTGAAATAAAAAAAAAATACTAAAAATAACAATGATGTTATGATCTCTTAACATTTAATTAAAGGTTAAACTTTTGGTAATTTCTTTAATCTGAATTTTGTTTTTATAAATTGTTACCAAATTTCTTCTCATTTCTTTTTTATTTGGATGTTTTTTTTTCTTTATTGCTACATCTGACTGATTTCTTACAATGGGAAAAACAAATCAATTGGTGTTAACAGTCTTTTCATGCGTGCAAGAAGAATAAATGATGTCTTCTGCTTAGCTCATTAAAATTGAATGGTTAGTATTCCAATAAACAACCAGTACAAGATACACTACACGTAGCCAAGTGATTTAGAGTCTCCCTGAGCAATGTCTCAAATCAATAAAACAAACACCACATCAGGCAGTAAAATAACCTTTCACACATTTATATTTTACACTTCTTATTTTACCTGTTTGTAGGAAATCAAAATGGATTTATACATGCATCACGAAGTCTAAAAAAAGTTACTGATGTTTGTATTAACCCGAAAGATCCCTATATTTTTAGTATATCCCTGTCAAAAAGATGCTTTTTCATATATACACATGTACTTAGTACACATGTAACAAGAGGCTTAAGTGACCGGTATTACTCACATGTGCAGTAGCGTATTGTGGTAACTTATAAGTTTATCCTTAAACATCATAATCAATCTTTGAAGTATTTATTTTGCAACTGATATAACAAACCTCAGAGGTAAGCTATTCATCTCAGAATGCTACTGACCTGATGTAAGTGCTGAGTCTCTTGTTAATGAAAGGTTGCTTAAATGTTTTACACAGTTAGTGGGCCAATATCATTCATCCCAGCATGCCACTGGCCCAATATCATAGGCCAGGACCTCCTGGTTATTGCAAGATATTGTTTCAAGATCTTAACACATCTTGACTCCTTTGACCTTAAAGGTAGGTTAAGTTAATTCAATTGAATAAACTTGGTAACCCCTCAGCATAGCATATTACATACCTAATATGATGACACAAGGTCTCTTATAATTGAGATGTTGTTTAAAAAAATTAACGCATTTGACCTCTGTGACCCTGAAAGTAGGTCACAAGTATGAATTCTAACAAATTTGGAAACCCTTCAATTTCATCCCAGCATATAACTTATCCAATATCATGGCCAAAGAAATTGTGTATCATTAAATATTCACACTTTTTCAATTGCTTTAAAAATCTTAACACATTTCTGACCAATTGCATTTAACTTTTTAGTGATGCTGTTCACTTCTTCTCTATTACCAGGTAGAAATCGTATAACGGCAAACTCTGAATGATCTAGTACTGCCTAGCATCACAAATATGAAGATTTTTTAGGGGGAAATTATCAAATCATTTTGCAACAGCTCACTTATATCAAATGCCTTTTTGATCAAACTTCTTCTATATAAGAATTTCAACTTATTCTAAAATTCCTTGTCATAACATCATTTTGCAATGCTAATGGGTACATTATACTACATAACAAAAACATGCCTGATATTGAAATTACAGACCAATAAATAATTGTTTTTGACTACCGTTATTGTACATCTGCTTAATCACATATATAAAATGCCACACGAGTTAAATCTATATCATTCCATTTTTGACTTCAAAACCTTTATTTCCTATAAATCTAACGAGAGAGATCAGGCGGTAGTGAGACCGGGATAAGCCTACCATGTTGTGCTTGAACTGTACAATACACATAAGACCGATTATCGCTCGTGTTATTTTTCCGTGCGTATTTGTCGTCCGTGTCAATTTCCAATGCGCTATTTATCAACTTTTTCTTAATGAATCGAGGAACTTATTATGCTAAGGGAAAAACTTCCGCATTCTCGTAACTTACCTGGATAACAATAGAGACAGTTCACCCAGGTTGTCTCTCTTGCAGGTGACAGAACTGCGACAGGAAGTGACAAGTAAAAGGTAAACGTGACGTAATGTCAATACAGCCTTCACTTCCGTTTTGGACACAGGCGCAATAAACAATAAACCGAAAGATATTGATATTGACAGTCACTAAAACCAATATCATCGAATTAGAAAACTTATTTATTCATATTCGAGAAAATTTGTTTCATTCAAAAGACGATTCATACTTATAAAATTAATTCTGATGCATGAACAATACCATTTCCCGCCATATATTTTGGTGTGCCAAGAGACTAGACAGGGTATAAGTGTCAGATCCAATAAACAAGTGCGAGTAAACAGATATGAATTTATTAAATAAATCCACGAAATATGTTTATGTATGAATTTCTATGATTGAATAACTTATTTCAATGTCACAGAGTCCTCAATATATATGTAAACGTAGCCAAACTTGACTATTATATAGTAAATACTTTCGAGTATGAAACCGGAAGTTAACGTTCGCGTTACATCCGAGGAAAGCTCTAAAAAGGACCACATGAGAATATGTTCTATCATCAGTTTTACACATGTTACGAAGAAATGTAGAGTGGTGAGGACGGGGATTGATTTAACATAAGTTAATGCGAGAAAGCATTTATCAAACATGAGCGACATTCAAGAATACTCAGATGTGGTACAAGAAGTCCGTGGAGCTCTGGTAACATAATTTAGTTGCTTGTATTCAGCTGATATAATGATATTGAATTAATTTGTTTTGTCTGAGGTGATTAATACTGATTATGTATAATAAACAACTTTTTACATGCAAATTTTCAGAGACAGTGCGATATTCGATGTGGCAGATTTTCATATCGGTGGTTCACATCAAGATACAAGTGCTTGGTCACTGACCCACTCTGTAATAGTGCCATCCCACTGAAATTTCTTTACCTTAATAATATGGTAACATAAAATGAGAAGGGACTTGTCACTCTTAACCCATAACTGAATATGAAGTACCATTTTACTAGTGATTTTCAATGCTATTTCACTTATCAGCTATGGGAGGAAGGCAGCAGAATTCAAATCCTTCCTCACTTGTGCTGTATGCAGAAACTGAAATAAAGATAACATGAGAGCCATAAAGAAGAAAACCGAAGAACCAAAGTTGAAATTATCAAAATCCTTAATTTAGAACATACTGCATCCATATTCATGAAGTTTTGCTGAAGAGAAAAGTGCACACTTCTATCTTCTGTCACATGGTTATGTATATATTTTACATTGAATTCATTTTTTTGTATTATCATCTCTTTATTCATGTGTGAAAGCTTTAAGTCATTAATTTTGCAGTTTTTCTACACACTCTCCAGTGTAGAAGATAAGTCAACTTCAGTATATTTTTTATTGATTTATTGTAATTCAGTTGTTTGCCGTTAGTGATAACCTTTGCCCATTTTTTTGTAATATTTTGATGATATTGTGTTTTTGATTTCAGAATGCAGGCAAGCTAAAGCTACAGAGCACCAGTGTTAGTTTTAAAAACATTAAAACTGGTAAGGTTGACCAATACCAGAGCACAGATGTTGACAAAGTTTACTGGTTAAAACGAGCAAGAGGATACTGTTTAAAATTCATGTTGGATACTGGTGTCATTCACAGATATGACGGATTCAAAGAAGCAGTAAGCATTTTAACCCTTAATGTTTTTAAAACAAATTAATGCTCGGTAAGTTTCCATTTAATATATCTAAGTATTAACATTTCTTTTCGGTTTTCCACTTTTCTATCATGTGTGTACCTATACTATATATATAGTTTTAAGTTTTCCTGCAAGTATACAATTGAAGAGTTTCTATCAAAAAGCACAATAACAAAGGCATAATATTTTATCTAAATACATAAACTTCAGATTAACTCTTCATTTTGTTTGTTTTCTGGTTTCATTTATTAAAATCTGCTGTTTTGAAATATATCCATGTTGAATTTAATTCTTATTATTAATATTTCATGTAAAATATTGTTGACAGGATTTTGACAAGCTGGCCAACTTCGTTTCGAAATATTATCAAACAACTTTAGAAAAACAAGACTTGTCTGTCAAGGGATGGAACTGGGGACTTGCAAACTTCACAGGTATTTATATCTCATAAACTAACACTTTGCTCGCTCTAATTTATCACTGCATTTTTGTTGAAACCATTTCTAATTTCATATACCTAACTATAATGTCTTCAATCCTTATTTAGTTTCAACTGGTTGGGAGATCCAGATTTATGTTAAGAACTTTTCAAGTGTCAAATTTGTAGTCTGTGGTATGCATGTGAAAATGACATTTTCTCCCAGACATGGGTTACTTCTTCCCTTACATTTATAGAACCATAGTTTTGACAGTGACTCCAGACCGATATACAAAGTCAATAGAATGATTTTATCAAACTTCATTTGCAGTTATCTATTGAAAACAATATAAATCAGTAAAAAGTTGTTGCCATCTTGTCTTAATCAGGAAACTCCTTAAACTTTGAGGTGGATAACAAGCTTGCTTTTGAAGTACCTCTCAACAACGTTTCACATTCAACAACATCTAAAAGTGAAGTTACTCTGGAGTTTCATCAAAATGATGATGCTGCAGTTTCACTCATGGAATTACGTTTCCATATTCCTGGGCAGCCAGCTGCAACAAATGCTGAAAAGGGTGAAAACACAGAAAACAAAGATCCAGTTGAGGTATGTACACTGAATGCTCTCAGCTCTCACTGGATTATTGTGATAAAGAGAAATTGTTTGGTCCTTGTTTTGAGATGTCCAAAAGCTCAAGGCTTTGTCTGTGTCTTTCCTTCCATCATAATTTCATTTGTAGTTGACTGCTACAAATAAGACATTTCTTGGAAAATATTAAAAACATAATTATTTGACAGTAAAATTGTTTCTGGTTTTTAGGATTTTATTAACAGTAGGCCATGGTAAGGATGTACACTGGTCAGGAAGACCTGCACTAATCTTGATATCAGTATTCTATCATTGGTTGTTTTTGACCCAAAACTATTAAATGCTGACTATGAGTATTATCATGTGAAGTGATAAATGATTCATAACATGTTAAAACATCTCTTTATGTAACTCTCATGAATGTTGGTTTCTTTGGCAGGAATTTTATGAGAATGTTCTTGACAAAGCAGATATCATTCAGGCAACTGGAGAAACTATTGCAGTTTTCACAGAAATACATTGTCTCACACCAAGGTGGGTACACCTGATTTTAACATTTATGATTTGAATACAGGTCTTTGATTTCAGATATTTGTATCATTTTAATGAAAGAAGTAGTAAATATATAATTAACATTTTGATTACAAGCCCTAAAATCAAAAAAGTTAATATCAGAATTAAGGATATTAAAGAACTTTCGATGACTGTCAATGATTTATCTACATTTAAAAATGTCTGGACATTTTGTACCAAAAAACAAAGAAGTGAAGCAAAATCCTCTCTATGTATAGCATGTTTTATTTCCCATTTTTAATGGGACAATTGAGAAAAGTATACATTGTTTATCGCAAAAATTTCTATGTAGATTAATCACTGAATCAGCAAGACCTGAATTAATGTATAATCTTTATTTTTTCAGAGGTCGATATGATTTTAAGATTTATCCAACTTTCTTACAACTCCATGGTAAAACATTTGACTACAAAATCCCCTACACAACAGTTTTACGCTTATTCCTGTTACCACACAAAGATGGCAGACAAATGTTTTTTGTGGTGAGTTGTCCTGTGCAATACTTTCATCAAATGCTACTTCCAAATGCCCAAATTTTCTTTTATAAGTTTATAATCATCAGCATAATGTGTCTTCTTGTTTATTCATAAAAAATTAATTTTGCCTGAAATGAAGTCAAAATTTTTGTGAACTCAAATCTTTTAAATTTAAATAATAGACAGTTTTTACTTGAAATCCAAATATTTCTTAAATTAATATTATGTTTGAAATATTAAAGGAAGATTGAGAGACTTAAATTTCTCTACAGACTCTTGACCAGTAAGATTTTCTGACATGAAACTATGCCATTCTTGTGAACTTGCATGAACTAATTAACTAATGGGCCTAAGAAAATAACACAGGCTTCTATTAACAATTAAACATACCAGAAAAAAATGTGCCAGGTTTGTCAATTTTTTCTTCACATTTTATATAGATTGCTTTAAGAGAAACTTTCACTGTAGGAATATATTGTTGATGGGTTTAGTGGAAACACAAATAATTGTTTTTGCCTTAATCTGCACATTTTTCCAAACAGGTGAGCTTGGATCCACCAATCAAACAGGGCCAGACAAGATATCCTTTTATCATTCTTCTGTTCCAAAAGGATGATGAGATGACATTAGAACTGGGCCAGTCAGAGTAAGTCTATCGTAATCACTGGCTACTCTTTTTTCATCAGTCATGGTTAAATTTGAAGTGTATGTTTAAGAAGATGCCTCAATGAGTTACATGTTTAATCAAAAACTCATTCAATAAATAGTTCTTGGATATTTAGTTAACATTAAAACTAGAGGTTGAATTACTGTTATATTAAGCGTTTAATTGGCAGCTTACATACATACACATTGAAGTATTCCTTGCTTTCATAACTCATTTTATGGTAAATGATGTTGGTAAGCCTATAGCACTTGCTATGTGATTGTTGGTTAGAATTATGTTCGGACCTAAAGATGATTGCTAATGTCATCAATACATTTTTCGAAAGGACAGTTAAGCTTAGTATGGAAAAAATCACCTTCCCCCAAATTTCGTGATTTACAATACTTTGTTTACCCAGTAGTACTTTAAATCTGTGTCTAGTAATAAACCCACCTTTGTCTATTACAAGTCCATTATATGCTAAGACATGCATGCCATCGTCCTGTAAAATAATGCCATACCCTTCTATGAATAAAATTGTCTTGAGACCTTGGCTTATTATGAATTAGATATAGTACAGTAATACTACAGGCAGTTATAGTTCAGTCGGTTAGAATGTTGGCAACATAACCTCAGGTGAAGACCCAAGGTATCAGACTTGACACCTCCTACGCGTAGCAGTTAGTGTTTTTCTGGAAGTTGAGGAACAGACTGTCTGAAACGAGAAACCAATCTGATGACCAGACTGGTGTGGTTGTGTTCTTTGGCTAAATGTTTACCAAAATTGCTTTGAACAACATATGACTGACCTCTGGTATGTTGGTAAAGAGGTTGCCACTTGTTTCCACAAGATAGCCCCTGCCTCAAAATGACCCTGACTGCTGACAGGGTGATAAACCCAGAAAGCAAGTAAATGCTAATAAAGAAGGAAATATGTTCTTGTCCAATACAAAACCAGACATTGACAGTTGATGGGTTCGTGTTCTTTTCTTGATGTATGAAATATGTGATTCTCTTGCAGTGAAGACTTTGAGACAAAGTATGAGGGTAAACTACAGCGTGAGATGTCTGGTCTAGAATATGAGGTCATCAGTCGTGTTTTCAAGGCTGTCACCAACAGAAAGATTACAGTCCCAGGAACATTCATCGGGTAAATTCATAGTTACAAAATCAGTCTCCTAAATATTGTTCCTGTACAAGTATTTAAGAGAATTGGACAATACAAAAAGAATGTTTCCATATGCTGGGTTTACTATATGTAGAAAAGATCTGGGCACTGACAATAGTGCTGATAAATAAATCTCTTGAGTTAGATATCTACAGTGTTGGCATCAAAATTATGTCAAGTTTAGGTATTTAAAGAATTGAAATATATATACAACTCGTAACGAGATGTTGTCTGGTTGTAAAACTAATTTGATTCAAAATTATTTTTTTATTTCAGGAGTTCAGGAACCAATGCTATTAGTTGTTCTTACAAAGCAGCCACTGGATTCCTGTACCCACTGGAAAGAGGGTTCATTTTCATACATAAACCTCCAATGCATATCCGCTTTGACGAGGTGTCTAGTGTTAATTTTGCCAGGAGTGCAGGCAGTACCAGGTCATTTGACTTTGATGTGGAGACAAAGTCAGGCAATATGCATACGTTTGTTGGAATAGAAAAGTAAGTTGATAGTCTTCATAATTCTTGTTAGAGTCTGAAAATACTTCAAATAGTTACCTTAAACAGCTGATGAGTCCTGTAAATGTATATATCTGATTTTTTAGTCTTGCATCATACTTGCCTTAAAATGAAATTTTCTGTATGTTTAATTTCAGGGATGAATATGGCAAGTTGTATGATTTTGTCAGTAACAAGAAACTCCGAGTCAAGAACATTGGCGGAAAACTGGTAGGTAGAGATACATTTGATAGTGGTGTCCATGACAGTGTTAATTTTGTGTTCACATTTATGAATGATGGACTTCAGAATAAATCGTATTTGTGATGTTTCTGGTCATTGAAATAAAACATCAAAAATTGCTGGTAATTTAGTAAATGTGGTTTGGTTGTCAGGACCAGAAGCAGAGTGCCAACTATGCTGATGACATGAACGACAGTGATGATGATGACGGTGATCATGACGCATACTTGGAGAGGATGAAGGCAGAAGGAAAGGATAGGTACAGCGATGACGAGGATGATGAAACAGACAGCTCAGGTGAATATCAACTTTGCTATCTCTTAAGATCATGGAATCATTTCAACACAAATGAAAACAATCCTCCAACATGAAACTTCCTTAATGGAAAGAAAGATGTTGGCACTTGAAAGTCTGGTCCACTTAAAATTGATTCAAGAATCTTGTAGATTAAAAAACTTATAGACAATCAGAATGTTATGTCCCGTTTATCAGGAAGAATGATTTTTCTCATACATGATTTCACAACCGGTGTTTTATAAATGACTTTTGACTTTTAAGTTGAAAATTATGGGCTATTAGATATACAGACTCTGATGATGATTACCGAATCAGCATGGATAAAGAGTTATTTTCATACAAATAATCGTGAGGGATTTGAATTCACCATTGAATCTCCTGGCATATTAATTCGAAAATAAATCCAATGTGAAATAAGTTATCTCAAGGATACACATCTTGTATTGAGCCTTGCTTTGCGATTAAATCAAAAGACAATCTCTTGATTAGTTTTGGACAGAAAACATCACAGCAATTGCTTGACTGATGCAAGATGTTACAATATCAGAGGTACAGAACCCAAATTAAACCAGTTAATTTATGTTTATTTGTTTTCCAGATGAATCTTTCAACCCTGGTGACAGCGGTAGTGAAGTAGCTGAAGAGTAAGATATTTCTTTATATCTGGCTGCTTTCCATTAAGAACGCAAAGACTTTTCTTTTCTTTATATTTCATTTAGTAACAGAACCATTGTAATATAGATTCTGATATATAACTTGATAATCTGTGTAAAAATGTTCCTTCTCACTACAAAGAATCCAACACATATAACCTAGGCCTACAATAGATAGTTACTGGCCAATAATTAGAACAACCACCATTACAGATATGATAGTAACCCTCCAACAACATCAGAGTCAGATGAGGATGATCTGGGTAGTGGTCCAGAGGCTGAAGCTAAACGAGAGGCCAAACGAAAGGAGAAGGAAAAGAAGAAGGCCCGTACTGCTAAAACTGTTGTAAGTACAAAATTATGTAAAGTCTCCCTCATGCAGCCTAATAGCACTACAAGTGTCTTACATTCTATATAGTGTTTTATATGTATTATTAGTGTATTATAGTGTATCATTAATCTCACACTACTTTATACTTAAAACCAGCTGTAATGATGGGCAACATCAATTTAAGAATAACTTCTAAAATACATTTTCTGACAAAGTTTTTTTCTGCATTAATTAACAATTTATTAGAAATCTATTGTCATTGTTAGCCAATACTATTTTTGAATTGAAAATATAAAGAAACTTGGGAAGAAAAGAACTGCTATTTTAGTTAACTATGAAATCATATATTTTTGTGGTGTGTAAAAGGGTAAAATATGATACATTATCTCCGGAGAAGGAACTGCTTTCGATTTTAAAAGGGGCAAAATAAAGCCTTTGCATAGGAAAGATTTGCTGAGCTTTAAGATGGTGTGTCTTTTATACCACAAACGTGCATAAACAACTGGACAACATTAGGACAGAAAAAGTTTTTTGTAAAAAATTACATATATATCTATATATAATCCAACACAAAACGGAAGTAAAAAGAAGATCAATCTTGATGTTTTTATGTGATTTAGATGAAACAAGTATCATTATTCACCTTAATGATGTTAACTGTCAATACTTTTCATTCTTATGCAAACTTTACATAAACGAGGCATTAAAGGATAAAAATTTTAATATACCTGCAGTGGAGAATGCATTTCATTGCTAAGAATAACTACATGAAAAAGCCTATCCTTTTTCAACTAATAATCAGTTATGAATTTTAACTGTTTTCATATCACTATTTGTAGCGAGAGCCTGGTCAGAAGAAGGTTAAGCGGAAGAAGAACAAAAATCGTGATCCTGACAAGCCGAAGCGCCCAATGTCTGGTTATATGATCTGGTTCAACACTAATAGGGAAAGCATTAAGGCAGACAACCCCAGTCTGTCAATCACAGAACTTTCCAAAAAGGCTGGTGAACTGTGGAAGGAAATGAAAGACAAAACAGTAGGTATCAATCTGTAAACATGGGAAATTAATCGAGGTCTACATTGAAGCCACACCTACATTGGAAGCATAGATATGAAAACCTATACAGGAGGTCACCATTTAATTTGAAAGTGATCCAATTTAGAAAAGACCTAGTTCAAAACCTTAGGAATACTCATTCTTAGTGTATACTTATCTATCAGTAAGCCCATGCCTGGTAATAAGCCTTCCAATATCCATCGCTATTGCAATAATTATAAGTGTATATTACTCAAGGAGATTGGTTTTTGTTGGCCCAATTTCTTTTTCATGCAAGAACTTTGCAATAGAATATTCAGAAAAGAAAATACTAATCTGTTGTCCTAAAATTTTCTGGAATTAAGTAATACCTCACCTCCTACTTTTTGTCAAGATTTCTGTTTGCCCCTTGTTGCAGTAATTTGCTGATTCTGTATGAACGTGTCATGAGAGTCTCCAATAAAATTGTATATTTAAATCAGCTGAATTCTTTGGCAAATTGTGTATTGTTTGGTTCTGTAGGAGTGGGAAGAAAAGCATGCCAAGGCAAAGGAAGAATACCTTGTTGCAATGGAAGAATACAACAAAAAGCCAAAGAAAGGTGGAGGAAGTGATGAAGATGAAAGTGATAGTGAAGATGAGAAAAAGCCAAAGAAAAGGTGATCTCATAGATTTTTCTGTTTCTATATGCCTGTTTGAAAGGTAATATGGCATGAATTTGTGTTTTCCAGTACAGCAGTTTGATTCAAATGATTTTAGGTCCTTTTTTTTTTTCTTCTTTTTTTTTTATTGCATATTTATCTTCTACGGGTATCTCCTTCCTCAATTTTATTCCATTTCCTTGAAACATGAGATGGCGAGATTATGCTCGCAGGATTGACTTTTTTGATTGATTAATATTTGAATGAATTTTTGCATTTTGTTCTTTTGAGCATTATCATTTTGTCCAGAAATGTCTTCTTTTAGTTTCCAACCAATCTATTTGAACTTGGAATGCATCAATGTATCATCAAAACATATAAGACTATTTTCCTTACGACATTTTGACTTGATAAAACTATTTCATTACTGGTATCCCTTCTGATACTATAAGCCAGTAATGATTCCCAAGTCTTAGATGCGATGTCATTTCACCCCGCAGTGTACTAGTTGAAATTTCTTGCCTTTACCGTTTAATTCTTTCGGTTTTACCCAGTCAGGAGATTGAATGCCTTTTAAAGCAGAAAGTATTCTACTTGACATTTGGTGGTTGAATACGTGATTTAGTGACTTGTTCAGGAAAATTTGGAGAACTATTAGTAAAAACAAACATTTCAAGGGGAATAAAAATAATCTTTAAAAAAGGTTATTGTTTACACTTCCATACCAACAAATTTGTGTTTTAGAGCCAAGAAACCTTCAGGCTCCTCTAAGAGTCCATCTAAAAAGGTCACAGAGAGCAGAGCAGGAGCTGGGGAATCTTACAAGAGCAAGGAGTTTATCTCAAGTTCTAGTTCTTCTGATGAAGACAAACCCCTGAAGAAGAAAGCCAAAAAGAAGGAAGAAGTAAAGAAAGAAGTGAAGAAGGAAGAAAGTGAAGAAGATAAAGAAAGTAGCGTTGGAGAGGTAATTATTTGATTGGTGGTGTTGTCATTCCTTCGTGGAATTGTGGAAATTTGTGTGTGGGGATATTTACACTAAATTAGCCATGTAAATTTCACCCACACCTATCAATTTTTGTGATATATTACATAGATATTAAAATAAACATCAGAGTGGTCGGGTGGCGCAGTGGTAATACACTCACCTTCACCTAGCCGACCGGGGTTTGATTCCCGGAAGGGACGTGAAAAGGTAAGGGGTCACCTGCCCGACCACATGGGTTTTTCTCGGGTACTCTGGTTTCCTCCCACAATAAGACCCCTCACACGCTTACGTCGGGGCCAACAAGAGTGATTAGTATAAGTATAAATATAACCACATTTACAGTATACAACCATATCTAACCAGAAAAGTTTTGTTTTTTTTATTATTCTGACATTTGATAAAAACTTTTGTAGTAGTCACACTAAGAAAGTAAATTTGCCCAGGTGGATGATCTGTAGCATTGTTTGTAAATGTACAAGATAATGTATGATGAGTCAAAACTCGTGAGAAATATTTCCGATTTATTGCAGCAAATGTGTTTTTCATTCACCTGACCTAATAAATATCACCACAAAATTGAAAAATGCTCAGTGATATGTTACACTATTACAAGCCACCCTTTTATAATCTGCACTAATAAGTCTATGGGTATACTTGAATTGATGTGTTCTTCCTTTCTATAGTCATTGCTTTGTCTGGAACAAGCTTGGTGTAGGTGATCAGTACTTAATGTAGATGTGTTCTAGCAATCTAATTCTTAAAAGACCTGTTTTAGCTTTCATAGATTTTGAGTCTTGTTTTAATTACTGATGGATGGAAAGAAAACAAGGGTCATACATTATTAAAAGAAGAAAAAACTTCATTGTGTTTTGAGTCTTAAATTTTTTAGTTGGTGGCCAGTTGATATTCATTATACGCGAGAGAGTGATTGTTGTATTGTTTCATTTTAGCTACCCTCTGACGAAGAAATCCTTCCTTCACCGCCGTCATCAGGGAAAGGATCAGGATCAGATGAAACAGATTCAGAGTCAGGCTCGGACTAAGTCAATATGTCAGTCAATAGAGTGTCTAGATGAGGTGTCAAGCATCTAATTCAAAGCTGTGGCAGAATTACCAAACCGAATGGAAGACATGATAAATAAGACATTTCTAGCAACACCTAATGGAATGGGAGAAGACTGGAAATTACCAGAAACTGTTTCATCATCATCATGAGATCTTAGATGTAAAATTTACATTAAAAAAACACCCTATTGATCATTATAACAACATAATTTATGATTTTACTCTAATAAATGTCCACACTTAAATGTGTAACGATAATTTATTGTTTTTAAAAGATATATCATTGATTTTTTCATTGGACTCGTTGATTCTTCTCTGTTCATAATCATGATTTTCAACAAGAAAGTGTTTTGTTCAATTTAAATCATGACTCTAGTGCTGTATATCCTATCTGGTATCATATGTTATACACATACTTAATGTCTGTCATTTGTTAAATGATATTATGTTTGGACATTTGTTTGTGGTGTCTCAAGTGTATAAGATCAATATGCTACAGCTACTACAAAACACTTGATGTTGTAAAACATTTGAATGCAAGGCGATGTCAGAAAACTATATCTTCATATTTCTCAAGAATCTTTTGAACATGATAAAAAAATGATATTAGTTAGAATTTCATGTGAGTATTCACTTTGAGCCTTGTTAAAATGAAAATGTGAGTATGCGATTCAAATATTAACACAGAATTTTCTTTATTGAATATCCTGAGAGTGCACTGTTCTCTAGTGAAGCTGACACTTTTTCAGTACAAATGATCATCTTATTTTCAGGGCATTGTTATTTTAAGTCTGAAAGGAAAACTTGTGTTTGATAATTGTGTACAGAAGTATTGTAACAGTATTGTTAAGAGATCTGCTATATAAAGTGAAATGAAAGTTATGTCAGTTATTAGTTTTTTATACATATTATAACAGCAGGATTGAATGTTTTATATAAATCAAAATGCTCCCAACAGGAACTGGGTATAATACATGTGCTGAAAACGTTGGTGTTTTCAGACAGAAGTTTGTCCTCAGAAATGCTGCTTATTCTTTTTACAATTTTTGCTGGAGGTGAGAACACTTCCATCTGTGCATGAAACTTACCAAAAAGGACATCCTCTTAAACTCACTGATTTTATGTTAAATTGATTATTTACAATGAAGCTAATGAAAAGATTACTATCACCTCAAATATCTTGCACATCGAAATGAACTGAGTTTTCCCCTTGTTCACTCACTTTCACACATCCCTAGTCCCAAAAATGTTACGTAAAGCAGCATCTAGATAAGCATGAGAAATCTGTCAGGCTGAAACCTTTGAGAGAGAAAGAGATGACCCAGAGAAAAAAGGAGAGAAGTACAGTTTACATCATGTTTTATACAACAAAAATATTTGTCGATATCTTGACTGGTATGAAACAATGTGAAATACTTGTAAAATGGACTTGATATCAGCTGAACAAAATAATAGAATTCTGATACCAGCGAAATGTACAAGGAATCTGCAGCATCCGCCTTGTAAATCGGGTCAATCCTTAGTAATGTCACGTTCCAAAGTGAGAACAAGGTAAACAAAACAGAATCGACAGGTATACTAACGAGCATCAAACAACTTCAAATCGCACAGGGAAATTTTCTATTTCCCAAAGAGATCATTATGACGACCTTAAAAGTACACCATAATTGTCATAAAACTTGATCACATATAAGTCTTGTGAGTTCTCTTTTCAACTGTCAAAATCCCGATTTTATAGTACAATGCCTTGAATCAACTTCCACGTGTAGACACCGTAGTTAGGAAAGCAAGTGATGCTCTCTAGATATGAAAAATTTGCAATAGGGAAGTCAGAATCGTCATACTTATCAAACAACTTGATGGAAAGCTGATACTACCGATTGCTTTGTAGAAAGAAATCTTGGTAGAAGAATCTGTCATGGCCATTATCTTTTAATGTGATTGGTATTCACCATGGACAGTGTTAATAAACAAGACATGGTCGATATATCTAAAAGTGGAATGGAAGGAATTTGCAAGATCTTTGTGGCATATTTTGATAGGATCTTTGATTAATTCAGCCTCGAATGAAAACGAAAAAAGTCGGCCAAATGAGAGATGCAGTTTTGTTCCCGTTGGATTTTTTGTCAGTGATCTGTAGGAAGATCTTGTCACCAAACTCGACTAAGGTATTGTTAACCAGAAATTCGATCATCTTCGCGATGATTTCTTCGATGCTTTAGACTCTCGGACCATTGCTGTGGGGACCATATTATTCATCAAGGAGGATAGATTCTGCAACCGGTCAAAAATTAGCCTATAGTCGCTCCATATACTGAGGTAGATTTTATTGCAAGTATAACTTAAATTCTTTTATACATGTAACTAGATGTCATCTCAAAGGGTCCCGTCGTTACGGTAAAACTGAAATGATGTGAAGTTATGGAGCGGACACAAATGTCTGCAATTCACAGAATACAGAATACGGTCAGATGTCTAAGTTTCAGACTTAAGCCTTTTAAGGACAAAAAGTTTATCTCATCTTATCAAAGTATTTAACAATTATGCAAACCCTCCCAAACAAGAATACATTTTTTTTATGTGGCACATCTTCTAAAAGTGGTTAACAAGCATATCAGTAGTGTCATCTTTCTACTATGACTGGTTAAAACGTTGTGAAGCTAACACAAATGTGCTTCGGACCGAGACAAATATAGGGAATCCACGAAGATCCCTAATCCAAAAATATCTTGGCAACTTTCAAGGTTATACAGGTTATTTGCACTTCTCCTGAAAGAATTTATGCAGCTTTTTGTTTCAAATTTCATTTTCCGAAAGCATGCTTTCAGCCTGTTAAGGGTCTTCAGGTCATAATGTTCTTGACTCCTTCAGTAATGAAAATTACCGTTACTATAGAAAGTCCACGGATCGGTATACATGCAGTGTAGGCACTACTATGCGAGTAGTGATATAAACAATTAATCTCCGTCACAACTTTCAGTTAAGTTGATTATAATAAAAAGCAAAGGACCATGAAGACACAATTATGTCACGAGTTTTCTTTTTTCATATCAGCAACGCATAGACTTAAAGATTTCCAATTCACGGTTGTAAGAGTGTCCAATCAAACTTAATTGGTTATACACAATGTAATTTTTCTTTTAAATTTCGAGGAGTATAACTAAAAATTTATTTTAAAATATACGTGCAATCTTCCTTAATATTGTGCACACTGCCCTTAAACTTAACGAGTTATCGTTCCTTCTGTAGGTCTAAGGAGTTGAGCCTGCAACCGGCACACATGGTAAGCCCATACTTCGACCATCTGTCATTATCATTAGTGTATAACAAATGAAAGCTTATAAAGAAATCTTGGTGTTCAAGTTAAACAAGTTGCGGGCGTTTCTCAGTAGCGATGTTACACGGAATGAAGTGTATTACTTTCCGATGTTTAGTAATCTATTTATAGAAGGAAGAAAAGTGTGTCAGGTGTATATTAAAGTGTCGAATCCCGTGGTTTTCATGTTAAGAAATATTTCAGTGTTGGGACAATTATCATTCCCAAGAATATTTCTTTTCTGTCCGAGATAATTCCACCAATTATGTGACTAATAGATATTAATAAATGGCTCGAACAACATACAACACCAATGGTACAATATGTAAAGTATATTTTGCAGGTTTAAATAAAAGGAATAATCATTTGGGAATAAAAATGGCCGTTAGTTACGACGGTCAATATGTCCTTGGAATCGACCTTGGTACGACTTCAGTCAAGGTCAGTCTGCTTTGCCGAGAGAGTGGATCTGAGGTGTCAACTGTAGCCAAACCCACTAAAGCTGATGTACACAGTGATGTAGAATTGGGTTCTGAACAGTCGCCATTAAAAATTTTCTCAACTCTTCAACAGTGCTTGTCCGAACTTCCGGAGGACAAACGTAGTAAAGTGACTTGTATTGGGTTCACAGGTCAAATGCATGGAGTTGTCATGTGGAACGAACTGAAAAGTGACGATTGGTATGTTCCCTCCACTAGTAATTTATATACATGGCAGGACCAACGATGCACTAATGAATTCCTCAAGTCACTACCAAGACCCGATTCACACCTTCCGATTTCTACTGGTCACGGATGTGCTACTTTATGTTGGCTTCAACGGTATCGACCGGAATTGATAGCGAAATACACGTGTTCCGGAACCATAATGGATCTGTTGGTGGCACTCCTATGTGGTCTTCGTACACCAGTTACTACGGTGCAACTGGCGGCCAGCTTCGGGTTCTACAATACAAAAAACAGGTCATGGAACAAAGACATGTAAGTAAATTGAAAACTTTTTTTTTCAAACTATGCTGTGAAAATCGTTATTTTTTAAGTTTCATTTTGAAACCAGATTTTTTAAACATTTTTAAAACCAACTTTTTTTCTCTCTCCCTCACATAATATACATATGACAAGTGATTCCCTTTACAGTCTCCAAAAAATTGGATTTCCTGACAAAATGTTACCGACTGTTACGGAGTCAGGTCACGTGGCTGGCAACATGCAATATGGTTGGATGGGTATTCGTAAAGGCACGCCCGTTCTGGCTGCGTTAGGGGATGTGCAATGTGCTGTCTTCTCTGTCGTGACCAGTGCATCAGAAGCAGGTCAGTTTATCGTTACATTGAGGAGATTCTGTCTCCTGATTTGATCACTTATATTTCGTGTGGCATTTATTTACGCGTTAATACGCCAGAAGGGTCAGTCGCGAATTCGAATCTCTCGCGATTGCTTGTACGGAAATAAATGATATCCATGCTGATTCGGTTATCGATATATTTCTAATAGCCCATCATTTGCGAATTTAAAATCATTTCTAGATCACCGTTCGCGAAATCATGCATTCGCAAAAATGTCTGAACAAGTTAATTCGCGAAATAAAGTATTCACAAAATCTTAATTGGTTTATAGTACTTAATGCACTATACAACTTTTCTGTGTGAACGTGACTCTTACCTTTGTAAGTCAATATATCGAATAATTGTGTTTCAGTGTTGAATATGAGTACGTCCTGCCAAATGATGTTTCCGATCAAACAGGAAAGTGGAATACCTGATAAACCGAATGTGACGTCACCTGTCCAGTACTTCCCGTACTTTGGTGGAAGCTACCTTGCTATGGCCGCCAGTCTAAATGGAGGCAATGTCCTTTCATGCCTGGTCTCTATGCTGCAGCAGTGGTTCGCGACGTTCGGTAAGTCGAGCTTCGTCTGTCCGAATTGAGGTTTTAAAGCGGATGATGCCGATAACTTGAGATTGCAGCCAGAAATCTTAGACTATTTCTATTGCGAATTATGCTGCAACATAATTATAATTTAAACTAAAATTCCATAGAAAAAACTAGGGCAAAATTGAACAAAAGAAAGATTTACACAGAGACTCCTGAAAAGTACAAGGAGAATAATGTGTTCAGGAAGAGTAAGCGTCTTCTTCTTCATCCACGACATCCACCATGTAAACCTTGGTCGATCCAAGTAAGTAATGTCACGTTCTCAAATCAGAACAATTATGTAACAACGGAACCAACAAACTAACGAGCATCAATTACGTCCAGCTTCATGTCGCACAAAGAAATAGAATATTTCTGAGATTATTATGGCGACCATAAAACTTCCCCATAATTTTCATCAATCTACACCTATTTTTACGAGCTTGTCATGCACCAGTGAGTGTGGTGTGTGATGGTCCTATTGAATGCACATACTGAAAAGTGTGCGAGAGAAACTTAATGAATAGTGATTCATTTTTAGTAGATCTTGTACTGTGTTCATTCATGTTCTTCTCCTTTCAGGCTTCCGTGTTGATGATGATGACTTATGGAACAAGCTGCTGGAGCTGAGTTCAGACGCTTCTCAAGGTCCCATTATAGTACCAACACTTTTTGGGGAGCGACATCTTCCGGAACAACATGTTACTATTTCCGGTCTAACATCAAAAAATCTTGATCTTGGATCCATCTTCCGGTCTCTGTGCAAAGGTCTTATAGCCAACTTATTTGAAATGATGCCAGAATCTGTTATCAGGAAACACGGAATAACGAAAATCATAGCAACTGGGTCAGTGGTCGACAAAAACGCCATCATCCGAGAGGAAGTGACGGAGCATTATGAGAGCTTGAAAGTGGAATTTGGTAACAGTTGTGACTCGGCAACTGGGGCAGCTATGTTCTGTAGGAAACAATTAAAATGAGGGTAAAAAGTTGCTTTTTTTTTGTTGTGAATTTTCCTGGTCTGAAAAACTACAGAATATTATTTAGGCGTAAAATTACGGATGGACAAATGTTAGGGGTACTTTTTTAGATTTCAATAAGAGAACTGATCAGTAGCTTTTACCCATCTTGCTTAATCGATATACAATACCCTGCATTGTTTCGTCTTTTGCATTTTTGTATTTCAATTTTTTTACTTTCTACGGATTTGGTTTCTTTTAGTATTAAGTACAAGAAAAGTGATATGGTACAGAACATAAGGACATCACGAATAGGAAATAGGTCACATATATTGTACAGGAATCTTGACCATAGGCGCTACAGGTGCCGGCGTCTCTCATGTTTTGAGCAAATGATTTAAATGAGGACAATTAATGAAGAAAAAATTAACACCAAGGGTTGTAGAGAGAGTAACTATAAAATAATGACATGCATAGCCAGCGTGTGAATTAAAACGTTGCAACACCTTTGTAATTAGACACTCTAGTCAATCGGAGAGAATCCTATTTTATCCCCGCCAAATTGTACAAGATTAGTATTATTGTTATTATTAGTAACTTCATCACTTAGCCTGCATTTATCAATATATAGTTCGTCTCCAAATATTTGATGAAACTATGGACTTTCATATAAAAGTCCGTCACAAGACCAATCAAAATAGCTTTGATATGATAAATGTTCACTCGGTGAAGAATTTTCCGATAATGTTATTTACTGTTCAATCAGGCGTTACGTCAAACAACCTCCCCGTTTATCTAAACCAAAAAGCAATTGACGTTATGTCGTGGCGAAAAGACCATAATTAGCGACTTCACGTTTTCCGTTATTCTGCGTTGAGTTATGACGACTTTTGTCTGCGAAATGATATAGAGGTCAAATTAATGTTATACAAAACGAAAGACAAAATAGAGAAATCAACAATCATTGTATATGTATGGTTTTTTTCAAAACGACTAGTTACTTTGTATATGGGTTTTTTTCATCATCGCGTTTTTATTCACTTTTAACTCGAATGAAAGAAATACGTGTAACTTATAAGACTACCACGCGTTAGTTTGACCTGTTTCCACTGTAAAAGAAAAAGCTATTCTCATTGTGAACTCGTCCTATTCTAATCACATGTGTTTTTTTTTTTTTTTTTTTATTTGTTGTTATCTGTAAACTACATTTTAAAAAAAAACCCGATATTTCAACATAACACGCGTGAGCCAGTGCTAGGCGTAAAATTACTAACGAGAGACTTTGCAGGTGGTTTGAAACCCATTCCTGACACTGAATTATAGATAAGTAATCGATTCCAACGTGTCCTATGTGTAGCGCTGTTCACAGCCTGCTAGTGAGAAGACCTGAAAAGTAAACATATGGCGGGGATATAGCTCAGTGGTAGAGCATTCGACTGCAGATCGAGAGGTCCCTGGTTCGAACCCGGGTGTCCCCTAACATTTTAGGCTACTAGAAAACATTTTTGAGCAGAATGTAAAGAAGCATACTTCGCGAGTTTGCTAAATTTCTCTACCGTCGAAAATGCTTTGTACTGTAGTTTGTCTTTTTCCTGGGTTAATAACGTTACACACCGTCGGTCATAAATATTGCATTGCGATGTAACTTTCGTGTGAAATTAATACATTTTATACCCATGATAAACACATCTTCGCGTCTTTGTGTTAGATAATCGAGAAACATGCTGAACCTCTGTTTGGTAGTCTAGTTTTATTTATTTATTTATTGTCGATATTTTTTCTTACGTTAAACTGGCATATATTTATCATTTGACGTAAAACGACACACATGCAAGTACTTGTATCTCAGCAGGGTATTATATATGAAAACTGACACTTGTTAATCCGAGTTGTCAGGGATCTTGGTCTCAGCCGAAGCTGCTAGAAACATTACTCAGAGAGGCTCTTGTCAGAGCTTTCTATGTAATAAATTTTGAATTAAACATTATCGTTAACCATACAGTCCCCTGTCGTGGTCATCTTTCATTATCATGAATTGCATGAACGACGTGAGTTTATATTATAAAAGAAAATTCGAGAGACCAAACGCTCAATAAGGTGTAATCTACCATTAGAATGACTGTTACCACCCTTGATAATGTTCATTGTAACACCAAAGATAAAGCGGAAATCAAAATAAATTCGACGTGTCAGCTTTGGTCATTCGTTTCAGGCTATTGATCATGACCACTCAGCATTTCAGTTTACAAATTTAAAATCACCCACGGGGACTTGGCACGAATTCCCAACCCACTGACCATGTATAATTATATATTACAGCGGCATTAATCACCGCAATATAATACATAATTGTTTTAAAATAACCAACTTAAAATAATTTCATGTTGTTGGAATTGGTACATATATAGCCAATATTAATGAAACTGATTTTAACTCTCTACATGAGTTTTTTCTCCAGCAATGGTTTTTATTTTAAAAAGGTCTGTGTAGACAGTCGGAACACCTTGGAAATTTTAGAGGTGCCGGTGGGAAAGACCAAAGGATGTCCGACTGCTGTTTAGACCAACACGTGCTTCCGGTTAATCAAAACAGATTTCCTCTTTCTGTCGTTAGAATGGATAAAAAGGAACTAGATGTCGTTTGCAAACGAAAGAAAGAAGTAAATGACCAACTAAATAGTATACCAAAAGGAAGAGCAAAATCGGGGAGACCATGGAAATCTAACAGAACAGCTAGGTATATTTTCATTTGCTAATATCAGTGACAGTGGGTATTTACTATAGCTAGCTGATTATGCGTTTTAATTTGTCTGCTTCACGGACACACAAAATAACACGAAAGTAGTTTTAATGACCTGTGACACATTGTGTTTAATTCATATCCGTGTGATAGTTATATGTATATGTGTTACAACAAAATAGGGAAAGTGCAATTGTCGAGTCCCCAACAGGGACGGAATCTACTCAAACAATGCCGGAGTTGTTTATGACAACTAACCCTCTTTCAATTAAACTAATTATGTACTGTGATCACCATGTTGAAAAAATGAGCCATTGTAGACATCATTCTGTTTTGTGCTGGTGAAACGAGCGTTACCAGTACAGCACAGTAAGTCAAGTATATAACAACCGTCTTCTAAAAGTTATTAAGATTGCATATCATATGTAACACACTTATATATTACATTTGTTCATCAATTTCCTACAAAAGTGTCCAAATGTAAGGAAATCAATATACATAATGTTTGATTAGACATTACATAGCCTGAATGTCAGATTGGTTCCTACTTTCCAGATACTCAGAAATCAAGAAAGTGAAATCACTGAAGTCATCATGGGACAAAAAAATGAAGAAAAAGGCAGAAGAACAATCTATCAAAAATTTTGAAAAACAACTGAAAGAAGAAAGGGCTGCTAAATTAGAGGTAAGTATAAACACTGGTCTTAGTGACGTTTTAGAAATAAACATTTCTAGCACCAGGTATTTCTAAAATTTACATTTCCTGTGGAAATGGAAGGTATTCATTTGGTTGTACATTTATACATCTATTTATGTATGTGCACCATAGTATGAGTACTGTATGTTAAAAGTTAACGCATCATCTTTCGATCCTTGGTTTAGGTTTTTTAGGTGTATTTATTTTATTTAAGTGTCACATGTTAATACAACATTAAAACAGGTACCAGAGAAATTAAAACATAAATCTATATCAACATACAGTCATTAGTAGCTTGTGAGACTCTTTCAATCTTTCAAATATCTTCAATAGTCCATACTTAAAAATTACCTAAATTACAAGATATATCTTATATATATAAGTAAAACAAACTTAAGTAATTATGAATAGAAAAATCCTAAAATGGAATTTAACAACATCCTCCTTCTGTGTAACATAAAATGTAGTCTTTCCTAATAAAAATTAGATATCTGGATTGTCAATAAATACATTTTTTCATTACTCTCACAATCTTGAAAAATATCACTAAAGTTCTCTAGAAAGAAGAAATAGATCCAGTCTTTGGTTGCATAAAAAAATAATTTCAGTCTCCACTGAGTTTGTATAGAAAAAGCAAAATTGTTCATGTAAAAGGTTCTACTATATTGACCAGTCTTTATACATAAAGGAGCACTACCACATCCAAGCTAGGTTAAAGCACTGCAGTAAGATCCAGGTGTATATTGTTTAATATAGTGTTCTAGTTTAAAATCTTTCTTGTATTTCCTGTATGTTCGCAGTTATTTTCCATTTACATGGTCACAATCATCTCAAAGTTGGTTGAACCAGTCACTTAGTTGATTTATACTGACTAGCAGACTCACTACTGATATTGATAAAAGATTGTTGATTTTTGTTTTAGTTACAAAGAAAGAGGCAAGAGGAGCATAAGAAGAGAAAATTGGAGAATGAGAAAAAATCAGAAGTTGTCCAGGCAGTAAGTAAAATGATATGTTATATTTAAATCTGTTAACAGCTTCAGTTTATCATTTAAAAAAAAGATGAGTGATTATTTCTTTATTGACTAGAAAAAGATCAGGATAAAAACTTATAAAAACCTCCACACGCTTGTTGTTCACAGGAATATCTCATATTTTGTGTATTGTACGCACACATACACTAATTTATTTTTATATCCTACTGTCCTTTTACAAGTAAAAGCAGATATAGTGATGAACATACCTTATGTTTATCTTTGGGAAAATGCATTTTTTTAACATTCAATTTTGAATATTTCAGTTGTCATGTATTTAAATGATTAACAGAATTCTCTCATTATTATTGTACTTTAAAATCAGAAAAAGAATACAAGATATACTTTTGCTTTATTTCAGATTAAGAGTACAGCAAAAATTAAGAGAATGAAGAAAAAACAGCTCCGACTACTTGCTAAAAGATGATTTAAATGTTTTAAAACATTTATTTATACAGCTCACTTTAAAGACGTAGATCCATATAATGTATTAATTTGTTATTGATAAATAGTAGCTGTAAGAGGTGAAATCAGTTCCATAACAAAATCGAATTTATTTACATATTGAATTACTTTTAAGGAGATATGTCATCTTACACTGCCACAAAAACACATGGTTTAATTGTCAAGGAAATTTACTCTCTAAACCATCCTGGATAGTCTGAAATGGACCAGAAACACTTTTTTTTCTGAATTTTGATGTAATAAATTTAATAACAGGTTTCAAACAATACAAGTTAGTAGAAACTTGGTTCGAAAGATATTGTTAGGTATTTGAATGTGTAAGTTGTGTGTGAGATATGTGTCATTCATTGTTGAATTACTTAAAAATAAATTGAAACAAAGGCTATTTTTTCTGTTTTGTTTTATGCAGACGTTACTATTAAAATCCTCCCCAATTTGAGATCCAATACAACTTACAATGAAATTTCTGTTCAATGTTACCATCCAGTTATGAAAAAATGAGTGGAAACCTATTCGCTATAATTTTTCTCACTTCAAGGGCAACAACTTAGAAAAAAATATGTTGACCAAGACAAGATAATAACAAACTTTCTGAATTTCACTAGGACCTTTCCATTATATGACTAAATATGAAATTTCAGTTCAATATCTCTAACTACCAAACTGTAACAGACTGGGCAGTAAAGTACATATAAATCTGACCTTGACCTGCAGTGAGACAACTTTCTATTTGATTTCATATTAACCAGTAACTTCCAAATTATCATTTTAGTAACAGAAACTTTGACCTAAGGATCTGCTTCAACCCCTATTGCACATCTGCATACCAGTGTATCATTATTCAAAATTTAACAAAAACATGAGCCTTCTGTAAGGACCTTATATGATGTGTTTTTGACAATATAGTAGCAGTTCTGTTTTAGTTACCACATCCTTGACCTTGGGAACTTATTAAACCCCTGTTGTATATCTTCATATCACAAAGTTTGCCATTTGTATCTGGGATAATCTTGGAAACCTATGTGCTGATGGATACTGTAATTACTACAGGTAACCTGCATTTTACATGTGGAATCTTAAGAATTCTTGACATTCTAGTTTCCTATAAGTAAAGTTACACTTGCTACATCATCATGATTTTAGACTAGGATGTTGCTTTTTACAACATTACTAAAAATACAGGTGCCCTATGGTAATCACTGTCCACAGATTTAGTTCCTTGCTGATAACTCTAGTTATACAAATTTACATGAATCTTTTGTACAGTTGTTCATTTCACAAAAATACATAGAGATAGACTCAAAGGTCAAGGTCAATTTTTGTATTTTTTTAACTACTGATTTTTTTATATTACAAAACAAGGGATCTGACCAAAAGTAAAGGTCAGTGGCTCCAAAGTTCAATATCAAATTTTGTATCTTTTCACAGTTGAACATTTTGTTACGAAATGAGGAAGCAATGTCAACTGACCCAAAATAATCAGATCACAGAACTTATTGGCTATAGTAGATAGGCACACATTGATCAGATAACTTGTACCTTATGTTCAGGTCGATACCTGATATAAGGTAACTGTGGCTGATGTGCAGGTCAGTTCTTGGTAATTGTTAAACTTGTTCTTGTTGTCTTAAGTTGTTGCAAATCTGATAACTAGTAGCTATGTTCATGTCCATACCTGATGTAAGGTAATTGTGGCTGATGTCCAGGTAAGTAATTGGATAACTTGTCAGCGGTATCTAGGTTGATGCACATTGATTGGATAACTTGTGGCTGATGTCCAGGTCAGTAATTGGATAACTTGTCAGCGGTATCTAGGTTGATGCACATTGATTGGATAACTTGTGGCTGATGTCCAGGTCAGTAATTGGATAACTTGTCAGTGGTATCTCCGTTGATACGCAATAATAAGATAACCAGGGCCCGTATTCATGAAACCGTTCTCATGCTCAAGCATAGATTTTGTACTCAAGATAACTTTTTCATAATTCACCTAAATCATATCCAATAATACAAATGTCAAATATAAACATTGAATAAAGCATTTGGCTTTCAGTCCTTTCAAAATATTTTCAAATCTTTGACAAGATCCATTTTTTTTTATTCATTTTTACCTAAAATAAGATATGACGAGCACAACATTCATGCTTGAGCACGAGTCATTTTCATGAAAACGCTTCCAGATGTCGATAATGATACTCAATAATAATGTAACCGTGGCTTATACTGAGAACTATACTCTGTAATCAGAAATTTTGTTGATGTCCAGGTTATAACAAATAATTGTTTGATGACATATGACCAACAAATGGCAATTTGAACAGCCCTGCATCTGATTAAAATATCAAAATAGTGAAATAAGAAGATAAAACATAAGGATTAATAACTATGGGTTGACAATGATGTTTATTTTCTAAAATCATGACACATGATATCACTGATCTCTCAAGATGAATATTAGGTAAACAAACAATACAAATTGCAATAAAACTTTTAAAAAGGACAACAATCTTGTACTGAGTGATATTTTCTGTGAATGTTGATACCTTCCTAAGTTCCATTACTGTCTTTGGACAACAGTCTTTATTTTACAGACAACAGCCTCTATTTCAAAACAGACATGAAACAGTTACTAGGGCAAACTTTACTGACAATGCTGTAATGTTGTGTGATTTGTACAATGTCTATAGCTTGGGTTACACAGCTCCTGTCACAGTAACAAACATAGTCACATCTCTCCATATTTCCTCCCTCTAGTATGGTTTTGGTCTTCTGTCTCCACGGTCCATTCTGGAAACACGCAAAGAAACACAAAACTATGAAATTGCAACTAAATAATTTTGTACAAAGAGTAGCTAAAATTTTAATTGGATATCACAAACAATTTCTGTGCAAATTTTAAACATCAGAATAATCATTTATCGAGTACACAATATATCAATCACTCTGAAACTGTTCAATTGTGATATAATTATATTGGTTTATATTACTTGTTGTTAATTATCTTATTTGCTTGGGAATCAAATTCAAAATTACCCAACAATGACAACTATTGAAAATATTTCATTTTCCTCTGAACAAAATTAATTCACACAATTCTAATGGTGTCATGACAATATCAATTCATTGTCCTGACCTGTCTTTTCCCCCTCGGTCACCAAATCCTCCACGTCCTCTGTCACCAAATCCACCACGTCCACCCCTTGGCCCACCTCGGCCTCTGTCACCAAATCCACCTCTTCCTCCGCGGTCTCCAAATCCTCCACGACCACCTCTATCACCCCCAAATCCCCCACGGCCACCACCTCTGGGGCCACCTCGTCCTCTGTCAAATCCTCCACGACCTCCTCTGTCAAAACCTCCACGCCCACGTCCACGGAATCCTGCATTTCAAAATAGTTCATTAATAAAATAAAATTAAACCAAAACATTTTTTAACCACCACACCAAACACCAACCAGTCTAAAGTCCGTTGCAACAAATGTGAACTGTAACAGTATATATAGTATTATTTGAAGCTCAAAGATTTCCTCTGTATAAATTCCTCCTTGAATCAATAGTCAATGATCAATTAAACTGAAAAAGTAAGTAAAAAATATCTAAAAAAAAAAGAAAGAAAAAAATACTATTCTAACAAAACCAATAAATTTCTTTACCTCCATCGTCATCTCCACCATCTGGTCGAGGACTACTACACAGATTACACGAGTTTCTCCAAGCAAAGTTCTTGTTGCTGCAACCGTCTTCCTCACATACCCAGTCTCCAGACCTCTCTGAACCACCTCCACCACCGCCTCCACGGCCACCGCCATATCCTCCTCTACCACGGTCACCACCACCGCGGTCGCCACGGAAACCACCTCGACCTCCACGGCCTCCTCTCATCCCCATGGGGTTGATTTTCCTCTCCGCAATCTCAACCTTGATTGTCTTTCCGTTGAAGTCTTTTTCTGTTGGTCAAGAGCAACAATGTTATACAGGCTATATACTACCGGAGAAAACAAAGGACACTTCTTATTACATTCACAACAGTTTCATCTTTGGAGCTTATCAAATCAGATTTGCAGCATGCCTTGACAGAGATCTCAAACCCAAGTTATCAATTTCTAATGTCCGTCTCGGATTAATGTTTTTCCTTAAAATCAAGTTACGAATGATGAAAAGTAGTATCATGAATAACATTTCAAGAAATTTTGCAATACAATGAAATACATATAAATTAATCCCCAACATTATCCTTTTATTTTTAACAGCACACATTCTTAGCTTGATTATCCAAGGCATTTTATAGTAAAGTCTCTGCTTTACACATTTATAATTTCTAGCAATGCAATGCAACTTACCATTGAACCAGTTGATGGCTGCCTTGGCAGACTCTGCATCATCGTAGGTAATGGTTGCCTCACCCTTAGGTCTCCCTGAAATTTTGTCCTTGTAGATCCATACCTTAGGCTTGCCAGTCCTACGATCAGTCTGTTGAAAAAGGGATATGATAAAAGAATATGGATGATGCAGAGATGAATGTAAAACAATATAAAAAGAAGTTGCCAACATTTTTCTATGTCTTTTACATTTTATACCAAAACAACACTATCATGATCAATATTCCACACTCTGCTACAAGACTATCCCTAATTGTATCAATAATACCTGTAGTATCCAATATATGGATTGTGTACTTTTTCTGAACCAGATACACAGAATGAGCCCATTTTAACATCCTTGGCCAACTTCATTTAGCCAGGAAAATCTACTCACCTTGATGACACCAATGCTTCCAAAGTGATTAACAAGAGCCTCTTCATCTGCCTCCTCTCCAAATCCTGACACAAAGATGGTGTCCATCATTTGCTCCATCTCTGGACGTCCACTGCCACTGTCATCATCCCTTCCTGTAACGGTTATATCACAATGATTTCCCAAACATTACAGTTACATAGTTTAAAACCAAAGTGTTGCTCAGGTGTATAAAAGTTGCCAAAAAGAAATTTACAGTTACTTTTTCTTTTTCAAATAAATTTGACATAAAACCACAATACTCTGAATAGATTTGTCCAATTCCCCCACCGTCCTTACTCGCAACACTTTAGTTAGAATTAGAAATTCAGGTTCCAATTTTTGAGAATTCTTATCACATATGAATGACCTGACAAATAATAATAAATAAATAAATAAAAAAAAATATGCAAAACAATAGTTTTGAATGTAATTTCAATCCACCGATGAACTAGCACACCAAGTGATAAGAATTTTCTTCATAGGAAACTGCATACAATAGAACCCAAGCTCTTTACTGTTTGGGATCAAATCACATTGTACACATACAACTTTCAGGTGTACAGTTCGATTTGACGATAAATGGGGAATCATTCATCAAGAGCTCTGGTTCACAGTACATTGTGGCCAATTCAATATTTGAAAATATATTTTAACAAAACAAATGTCTTATGGAATTTAAATAAGAAAAACATGAAATGAAAGTATTGAATTGACCACTGAAAAATAAATAAAAATCAGTAACGCATTATCATATGAACAACCTTCCAGCTATTGGTTTAATGCTAGAGTTTTTGGATATTTTACTGAAATATCCATAAGACTTTCATACTGTTTTAAGTTATTGGAAGCATTTGTTTCTTCCATTTTCCTATATTATTATTTTAAATAACACCTCTAATTATTTGCCATTTGTGGGAAATTTTGATTCCCCCACTTTTTTTTGTGCATGTCCCTTTTAAACTTTCCATACATATTTCTAGATTGGCTCTAGTTCCAGCTGATTAATCATTCCAAGTTGTTAAAACCATACCATTGATGTTATACAATGTATATTTAGTAGACTTTTACTAAATATATCACATTTCAAGTCCCCCTTTTAAACACATCACACTAGCCTTGAACAACATATGGGGGCATGTGGGTTGATATTTTTTGTTTCTGAAATTGAATTAATCATTCATTTCATACTTCAATGGTTTACAATCCACCTTTTACCTCAGTGGTTTGACAATTGATACACATCACCATGTTTTATAGGGCACACAATCTGTACACTCAAGAGATCATATTGTTACATTTTTCAGCAACTCATTTGTATTAAACTGTCTCCATGACAGTAGTTTTACACAAGTCTTATATTACTCAATTTCAATGGCTATCAGTTCTACCTAGCCGCAAAACACTGTCAGGTCGATTATATTCGGACATTGTAATGATAAATTACAATGTCACTGGTCCTGTTTGCTACAACAATACTTCCCATACTAAGCTTTCACATGATCCCTGTTTAAGTACAAAATGACTTCAGACAATGCCATGTTGCACCTACAGGCATTCTTACACACCAGAATTTCATGGTTATGTGATAACAGATTGATGATATTTTGAAATATAAAATCTTGTATGAACACATACCTGCATAATGAAATACTATAGATCAAGCTGTGCAAGTAGGATTGGTTTACTTTTTAATAATGGCATAATGCAATGGGGCAGCACCTGTACTTTCCTCATCAGTAAACATACTGTATACAATGTTTTACACAATGATTGTTAGCCAACTGCAATCATAACCTCTAATCTTTTGACAATTTGTGCAACAGCAACCTTTCACAATTCTACTCAAACTGCTGTAGAATTTTCTAGCTACAATCAGTATTAGTTGCTTTGACACACCAGATGATGCTGTTACAATCTTAAATACATGAATGCTTGAAGCTTTCGATATATTTGTAATGACTTTCAATGTATTGTGGCACATTCTTATAGTCAGAATGTCTAAATCAACAAGTTGAAACACATACCAGTAACATTTGTTTAGGTAACTGGGCATATCTAACTTCTTGACTTTTTTTAATTCTGCCCATGTATTCATAAATACGCACACATTATACTCCAGAAAATGTCACTTTGTATCTATGTAGATTTATATGCATGTATTTACTCTCAGTAAAAAGAGAAATCAATGTCCCATATCCTCAAGCCTATCAAAGTCAACCATTTGTTATAAATGGGTAAACCAAACTTTGTTTCATAGCACGCATTACACATTTGATTATTCACACATTCTGTGTACGCCATTTCAAAATCTAGTGTTCAACATGCCTTTTGTTTAAATGCCTGCATATAGTTGGACGATTTTAGTCACACAGTATCTAGTTTACATAGCCCACAATTTTCTCACCTAATGGTGTCCAGATTTTATCAGGTCAATTTTACTGGTGTACTAGTTTTATCAAGCTGAGAAAACATTGATCAGCTTCCATGCCTCGTTATTTCAGCAAGACAAAAAGGCCACGGTACAAATTTCAGCATGTTAGAATATCCTAACCTTTTCATCAATTCACACACTTCTAAGGTTTTTTTTTTATAAATCAAGACAATAACACCAGTTTTTAGAAGTTGGACTATCAACTTCCAAATGCCTAACAGCTCTGGCCAGTCCATAATATCAGTTTTAACAAGTGGGAATAACAAATTCTGTATCTCACTATTCCCATGTTTTAATGTCTCCTGACCTTGGCCTGTCAAATAATATCAATTTTACATTTTTTCACAGATGAAATATCTAATTCCATACCTAATTATCCGTAATCACATGTTTTAAATTACTTATGACGACAAGCCAATACATTCCCTTTCATTTTGTTTACTTCCTCTTAAAGTCAACTTATATAATACCAGATACCCTTCCTTTATTTTGATGATTTTATAACATGAAAAGTTAACGCATGTCTGATCAGGGCAACTGGGATATATCTGAGAACAGTTTTTTTAGGACCTCAAGACTCGGATTTCTTTGTATTTTTTAGCCATTTTTAATACAAACTGCACCATAACAAAGCAGTTTTACCTGTTTAGTTTGCTATTTGCATTTGTTCCTGCCACAGGCATTCTCAATTTTTTTCAAACCTTATTTTAAGTTGCTGGTGAACGTTGTACATACTGAATGCTCAACATTTCATATAATGAATAGTTATAAGCACATGGACAATACAAAGCATATTAATATTTAAAAGCAATGCAATCATAAACATTTCAAAATCTCTCGCACACATCATCAACTACCTGGAAGGTTTAAGCAACATTAAGAATATTTACCACATACTGAAATGGCATTTACCAGTAATAATTTAAATCAGAAATTTGAAAAGTAATGAAAATCTTTACTCTTTTTTTTTTTTAAATAAATATTCAGTAAGTTGCTGTAAACCTACTTCATCCAACAAACACCACTCTTTCCTGTAAATGCTTGGTTGAATCATTGGGCTGTTATATACTTACAATGAATTAAAAAAAGCTTAACTTATTTTTCAATTTGTTTTCAGAAAAGAAAAAAGTTTACAAGATATGAATGGGGACCAAGTGAAATAAGTTATTATTCTACGTATGATAGATTTATAGATTTAATACAAGGCATTGTGGGTGGAGTGGTTTGAATCTATTTACAGATGTACAAGATTTGCCATTCCTACTATGATGAACTGTGGGTCAAAAATATTTCAAAAATCTAAAAAGATATTCCTGAACAAATGAAGGGAAAACCCGTTATTATACACTGTACAAAAATATAAGCCATTTTGGAAATCATTAAAGAAGTTAATGCTTTTTCATATGATTTATGCATGAAATTGGTTTCAAGTATTTGAAATTTAAATATTTCATCTTTAAACTCCATGATCAAGTCCATGTCCAAATTTCGTTGTTCTTTCCATGAAATAAGTCACACAAAACATAATGAAACTTTTGCAAATGGAATCCTAAATTCCATAAAATGATCCCTTCCAGGAATTCATGCTGAATGAACAGACAACTTGTTAAATGTGTATTACAGTACTAAATTGTTTAATACTGAAGGTGTCTACAAAATTTGATGTTCATTTGAGAATATTTAACGTACTCCTTACCTAATTTCTGAATCCAAATCTTCTGGTGAAAATTGTAAACCCTACAACTATGTACCTTACTTAGTGACTAAATATTTTAAATTCCTAGGAAACTGAGCTTCACAATATCTCAATGCTGATATCAATATAATGGGAAAAGTTTTGCTTGCAAAATATCAACTTGGGGAGACAAAAATGGGTCAAAAAGTGAAAAAAATGTTCACTTTGTTTTCATTTAACCATGTTATATATCTGATGCTATAAATGTAACTTCGTTATTAAGATTTAAACAACTTTTTTCCATTTAAACACTTGTATGTCCGTGTTTCTATATAGACACTCTGGGGTCGTTTTTAGTGATAACTTGTAATTGCTTCTTGTAGAGTTGTTAAATTTTTTCTTAAAAAATTCTTGTTAACGATGCTCCTTATTATATTTGTTCCCGCAGTGACCCATAGGTAAATGGCCTCCTTAACCTGGGCAGATGTGAGACAAATAAACGCAAATAGACAGTGGTAATAAGATGAGAGAAACTGTAATAAGTCATGCTAGCCATGACTGTTGACTTACCACCACCATAACTTTTGTTGTACCCTCCGCGACCTCCGCTGCAATATATTAAGAGTATGGTCAGTACCCAGTGATCACACCAAACACACACAGTACCCATCTACTGTGTACGCCTGGGTGATCAGGGACTGATCCTCATGGATGCTTCTTCACTGCCTGGCTGCTGAATGTAGAGATCTGGTCTCGAGTCTATAAGACTCCAGTTTTGCTGGTTGGACACACTGCTTGTTAAAGTTCAAACCTTCACAATTGGATTGATCTTCGTTTTTGCTCGCAATTGGATTTGAAGGCTTCTCCATAAGCAGAGGGAGCCCATCTTCTTAAACAATCAGCCATACACCCTGGTGTTGTGCTTATTTTTCATGGTCAATTCACACCTTTTTATCGGGACCAATTATGAGTGATTCAACCAAACTTAGATTTTCATAAACCCCAAATGCAATTCTTTGCATTTTCCAACCTTTCATGTGTAGAAAAATAAAACATTAAATACATTTCTGGTCTATTTTATCAAGTGGCTCTGGTTTATCAAGAATTAAATGTGTCAGATTATAAATCACTTGGTCTACATATGGAAAGGCTAAAGACAGTATACCCTGGAGATTAATGTCAACCTCATTACGAGGAAATATGCCCGCAAAAATGTACAAGCACTCCAACTAGTTGAAAAAAAGAAGAAAATTAAAGTACAAAATTTCTTAATAAATGCCTGATCAGTGATTATCCACAGCAATGAAGCAAGATTATTATGGACCATCAAATCTTCATGATCAACAAATTTCAATATCATCAAGAAATTTTAACTTGTTAACAAAACATTGTCTTGAAGTTTTAGCCACAGCATATCTTATATATATATGTGGACAACTGATTGGCAAATAAGTGCATAATCAGATCTAGAATGGGGCTGCATGATCGTTAACACAGTAGTTACTGATCAACTAAAGAAAGCAAGTTTAACTCTTTGCCTGCTGATCATTTGCAATCTACCTCTCTCCTTTACTAATCCGTCTTCTTCCAGTTTCAAGTAGTTTCAAAACTAAAGGAGATTTTTATAATGTATAATGATTTAAGACACCTAATGAAAGTTCAGTAGAACTGCCCAAAGATGATGAATTAGTCTAGAAATATGTTCCTCCTTGCTTGGAGTCACAGATATGTTGATCCCTTAGACTAATTGTAGGTTAAATTCAGTAAGGAGGGAGTAGAAAATCCTTACACATACACAGCAGGCAAAGACTTCTACCAATAGGTATTATTTTACTAGCTGTTATGTACCTATGATGAACAGCCAGACTTGTAGGGCAGTGATTATTATAGTGCATTTCTACATTAATTGCCTGTTACTCAAAACATGCAACATTGCAGGAACATCAGATCCATATTAGACCTTCCATGAATAAAATGGTTTAATTTTAAAATAATATTCAAAAGCCTACAAATTCTACATATGGTTTCACCAAGCAAATATTTCAGACAAGATATTACGATAACATACATAGAATTTAAAACCTTTTCTTACTATATACCAACAAAACCATGTTTGAAACCACTGACCGGACAAAACTTAAATGCTACTCCAACTGATAAGCAATTCTCCATTTGTGCTGATTTTGTTTGTTAAGTTTTATACCAACTCATGCATTAGATATTTCCGATCCTATTAGTTTTGATAACCAGAGCCACTTCTGACGCCAAAGATAGTTTCACATGCTTGTTTCCCCAATTATAGCATAGGACTCGCTGGACTGCTATATCAACTTTATTTAGAAGACCACTCACACACAGTATTTTCTCTGTACACATCAACCTTTATCGACCTTTTAGATTGTGTACAGATTCAGTTTCGTCTTGTTCACAAGTCATGCCAGACTTATTTCGTTTGAATTTAAAGTGAGATGTATTGCACAACAATCAAAATTCACATGATTCATGCTCATTTTGCTTTAATACACTTATACTCTTGCAAAGCCAAGTGTCTATTTTTCTGTAGATATTTAATGTTTTAAAACCAATACTGAGGACCTTGTCTAAAAATGATATATATAAAAAAACAAACAAACAAACAAACCCTGGTATACCAGATATATCAATTCAATACTTATCTAAATGATCAGAGTGATGATAATAATGCATATACAGGGCTCTCACACCCCATTTTGGGACTGGGGCCCGGAGCCCTTAGAATTGGGAAAAATAGCGGCGTTTTCCTTGGAATTGGGAAAACTTAGGGTCTAAATTGGGAAAAAAGATACTATTTTGCATTGGGAATGGGGCCGATATCTGGCAGATCGAGAGCCCTGATATAATACCAGTACTAGAAAAAAAAACACTTGAAGTATTGCAATATTAAAAATCATACTCATATTTCAACATATCTACAGATTTTAACTGAAATAGTTCAATATACTCAGTAAATTACGGATATCAAAAATGTTTCTTAAAATATCCTGCACATTTGTTCTAAAACATCATTAAACTGACCCTCATGATTTTTTTCCCTCTTAGAGTGAGAAAAAATGCATGTCATCTCAAAATAAAACAAAATCCAATAATACCCCACCCCTTCCCTTCTTGGGAAAATTTTTTTAAAGGCATATGTTGCAGTAGTATCAAGGGAGAAAAAACAATGATTCTATCTTATAAGGTTTCCATCTGTTTCATTACATATCTTATGTAAACACAATTACCTGTATTTACCTACACACGGGAATATCATTTAGTTATATAAGAAAAAATTAACACATCTTTATCGACAAGAGGCATCATTCTTAATCGTGACATCAGACACAGAACCTAAGATGAAACCATGTCTATTGACTGTATTCTGTAAAAATAAGTGAATATCTACATCCTATGGTTTTCTATTCAAACACTTCTAAGGTATCACACATTATTTTCAGGTCAGCAGGTAGACAGAAGTTGCCCAGGGTGCCACAGTCATTGGCACATGTTTGTAAACTTGGGTTTTAAACTCTGTCAAAAGCTCTGAACCTGACCAAGCTTATTCAATTACACTTTATCAATCAAATATTTCAACCTCCAACACTTCAGTATAATCATCTGGGACAAAATAATGATTTGTTGATTTATGAACCTTGTCTTATTTAGTGTTAAGACCTCAATACACCAATCCCTACATGCAAATCCAGCGAGTCCATATTGCTTGCATCATAATACCCATTTACTCCAGTTTTGACTCATGATTTCATTGTAACAAAGTCACTAGTTGATTGTGAATTCTCATTGGGTCACCTGGTAGAAAGTCTTAGAGAAATGGAAAAAGGATTATGCATATCAAAGTCATACACAATAACTCATGGACAGTTGTCCTACACTGAATATCAACATTTTTACTATATGTATTCCGTCTAATTTTGTACGTAATTCAACCTTTCGTAATTTAAGCCTTTCCTTGAAGTCACCGTTATTAACATCAACATCCTTTATATTGGGAGATCGGTTTTTCACCTTGAAATCCCCACAGTATCTGTTATGTGTGGTAATAATTTGTAGATGTACTGAACCAACCCATTACATGGTTTCTTATCACCACAAAGACCAATACTGTTGTTATATATTTGATACACAATACTTCAGTTTTTTATACTCCCTTCATTATAGATAGCACCGCTGAATCGCACATTTTTATATCCTTAAATCATATTCATGAAAAATATTCTTGCACTATTTTTTGCAAATTAAGAAACCTACCCATAGCTTGATCCACCACCTCCGCCTCTGTTGTCTGTAAAAGAGAAATACTTTTATGAACAACAATGTCGTTTCTTATTCTCAGCATTACAATTTGCTTAAAATTGAATTTAAGATATGCACAGATCTGGTTATTCTTATGCACAAAATTACGAGTAAAATCCAAGCTGATTAAGTTCTCTTGACAAAATAATTTCTCACATACAAACTACAAATGTGTAGCAGGAGCAAAGTAGGAGAATAGTTTATCAGGACACACCAATTTCCTGTTCATATGTTTATATCTACAGTCAAACTTCTATGGACCAAACTTCGATGATTCAAATTTCTCAATGCATCAATTTTTTTTGTTTATCCCAAATTCTATTTCTTTATACTATTAACTTACTCCTTTATGAATTGAATTTTTTGATGTTTCAAAGATTTTTCAGGGATCGTTACCTATGATAACACAGTCAGTGACACCTTATGATTCAAACAAAACATTTTCGCACCACAGCAAAATTCACACATTTCAACAAAAGTGCTATCTGACAAAGGGATTATGATAGCATGCTGTAATTGTAATTGACTCTGTGTTACAAGGTGAATTAATTAATGACTTGACACAAAGTTTAATTGCTTTCTTACAAGCCATGACATTATTGATTAATGGGACATGTGTGATGTTCACCATCACCGTTGCGGCAATAGCCTAAAGTTAGGTCTAATTTGCAGAATTTTGAAAACGATCAAAGGAATACCTCTGACATGTATGATGATTTCATTTTAAATTGATGTGTAAAATACATATTCTTTGCGACATGCAATATCAATTTCTCGCTGATTTCTATTTAATGTTATGGGTTTTTTTTTCTTCATGAATGAAAATGTTTTAGATGTTTTTTTCATTTAAACTTGTGTTTTAGTATTTGTTGGTTTTTTGTTCAGGCAAAAATGTTGTGTCATCAACTTAGTTATGAACCTGAAAATTATCTAAAACAACACCAATGATTTGAATTTTTGATGTATCAAAGTTTTTTGGTAGTCCCTTGAACTTCAAAACACTGAAGTTTGGCTGTAAATATAGAGACAAAAACTGCCTGACATGCCGAATCTGAAGATATCTTTTGTAACTTCACAATGTAAGCTTTTCCAAATATTCAAATACAGTACCCTAAGATATAATGCTAAGCATTAAACTTACTGCGTCTGTCATCATATGAGCTGCCACCGCCCCTGCCTGATCCATATGAGCTGCCTCCGTGGCCACCATAGGAACCACCGCCGCTGCCTCCGCCACCACCTCCATAGCCTGACTGTGACCCCCCTCCATAGCTTGATCCCCCACCATAACTTGACCCACCAGCCCCGCCACTGCTGCCAGAGTTATAACCCCCCGATGACTGCTGGCTACCTCCATAGCCCTGCTGGCCATAGGAAGCAGTTGGACTTGTTGCTGGTGGCTGCTGCTGTTGCTGGTAACCTTTCAAAAGAGAAAAGATTGTGATTAGAATGTATCCTTTATACATTCTTCCCCAATGTTTGCTGAAATATATTTCATAATCCAACATGCTCAAGACAGAATACCAACATTTATTTTGAAGGTTTGAAATCATCGTGAAATAGATCTTTACTTTTGTTCAATTACTACACATGGAATGTTGGAATCTTTTTCTTTAGCAGAATTGAATTACAAGATTGCTTTGGTATGTGTGTACCAACTGATCTTTTAATAAGCTGATCCTCAAATATCTAAAATCAAACATTTAAGGAAAAAAGCAGAATCAAAGTTAGTATACATTATAACAACACAAATTAACATTATCATTTTCTTATTTGTACCAGACAGAATTAACAGACATTATATTTCACAAATTTATGAAGACATCAACATTTTCCAATTGTTTTTTCCATATTGTAATCAGAGGCTGTGATGTCAATTTAACATATGAAGCGATCAAAAATGTTACCATGCAATAACTTTGGACATGACAATAAAGAAACATGCTCATGAGAAAATATAAAGAATTCAAGGACCCAAGAAAATTGAAAACTTTTATATTTTGCATTCATTTATCTGTAAGCCAGGTTATCTGTAAGCCAAGAAAGGGATTTTTCTAAGATTTTTACTGTATTTATTAATTAAAACAATTTTAATGAGATTGCTTAAAGTGACATTTCAAAATTCACTTAAATGCTTTCAACAAGTTTTCAATTGAAAACTGAAACATTATCTTGTATCATTTGGGATCCTCATGAAAATATGGAAAAGACAACAAAAATCATCTATGTGTACTATTAGAATTTGAAATATCTTACATAATTAAGCTTTTGTCACACAAGGCATCTTCAAGTAGGTCCAATCATATGTGAATGATTGACCAACAAGTTAGACAAGCACTTCACTTGATTCGAATATAAATGTTACACAAAGAATGTTTCAAAATCAAATGGTTCCTAACTTTAGTGACAAGTTCACTTGTTTCAACAACATATATAGCCATTCTAAGCTTTTAACACCATAATTTCTAGCAATATATCAGCAAAAGGAAATTTAGAAATGTCACTTAATTAAAAGCAATCACTTCTTTTGCCCATATAAAACAGACTGGTTTCTCCATTCCATTGTATCCTCTTGTTTGTTTTCATTACAAACATATTTCATCCTCATAATAGCATGGTACTTTCTTCTAGATTTATTTATTTAAGCTCTGATTCCAATTCTTAAAATTGAAGAAATTAAAGAAAAGTGGAACAATTCCTTGACAAATTTAAAGACATAAGAAAAAAAAAAATTTTTTTTAGAAAAATCCCTTACTGCATAACATCTGCTACAATCTACAGACACAATCCTGTGGTACAACATTTGTGCACTCTTGTTTCGTCTGTGTGAAGTCAGAGAAATGAATGTTACCTGACTGCTGACCATAAGACTGTTGTGAGCTGTCACCGTAGGAAGATGAACCGTAACTCTGTTGATCTCCATATGAACCTAATACACAGAATCGATATCCATTTACTTTTGACACCAAACTCATCCCTTACCGTAAACAAAACCATGACTACTGTATCATATCATTTCCAAAAAATACTCTTACCACTGATATAATTTCAAAAAAATATTGATTATATCAAATAGAATTTTCAGCTTGAATCATCAAGACATCTTTGTTTCTCTGTTACCTCTTTTCCCAGGGTATCATGGTGCACCGTATTTCTAGAGAGCAAATTATTAAGGACTAGAAAGTTAAGATTTTTTTTTTCAGATTTAGATCTAGCGTAAATGAACTTTTACAAGACACAGCCAAGCAAGTGGGAAAAGAAAAGATGGGAATATGGAAGGTTTATTATGAATCATTCAACTCAATAGACATTTGTTCACAGAAAAGCAAGTGAAGTGTTCTTAACAAAAACAAGAGTAAATTGTAAATTTGTCAAGATATATATGATGAAACTGATACAAAATATACTATTATTACTTTTAGATAAAAACTTTGTTCCTTTCAAATTCAAAACACTTGAATACCATCCTTTTTGTAAGAACACAAGTAATACTGTTATATTGTTAAGGTGCTTTCTACGTCTAGCAGATGATTCATTCTGTAGTAGAATGGGAATTTCTGTTGTTTAGTGAAATATTGTTCAACAAAAAGTTATTGGATTAAAATATCTTCCATTTTATCAGTTCACTGCGTTTAAGATAATTGTCAAATGATAGAGAAATGGTACTTTTGTATGAATTTATGCATCATCTGCTAGCTATATATGTTAATGTTCTTGTGAAACATTAACTTCCTACATTGCTATGATTGTTGAATCTCTACCTGATGAGTAAGAAGGTGTTGTTTGAGACTGACTGTAGTCTGTGCTGGCAGGCTGTGTGTAGCTCTGTTGTCCGTATGATCCATAAGCTGGAGCTTGTCCTGTTGAACTCTGACCTGTTACAGAGGAAATCAAACATATGTTTGATAGCTTTAAAAGACTCCTTTTCAGTTCAGTTTCTTTATTGTGTTGAAAAGAAAATGTCTCCTTTTTTTTAACAGAACTGGACAGTATTGGTATATTTGTAGATACTGTAATAATATTTTCCTTTTTGACAGTCACATGATAAAACATTGACAAACTCATCTCCAATTACAATATTGGCTAATAACCATAACATTCAACTGATGTACTTTCATATTTTTAAGGAACAAAATTGAACCTTTATAGTTACTTACCATAGCTTTCTGGTGCAGTATATGAAGCAGGTTGAGTTGTGGCTGCAGATTGTGGGGTCTGTGAATAGGCACTCTGATCATAGCCGGCATATCCTTGTTGACCATAGGCTGCAGGTTGCTGGGAAAAAAAATCAACATATTTTTAAGTGAGAAAGATTTTAAAATGCTGAAAATTTGAAAGTTTTTATAGTGAAAGCACAGGTCACACATTTATACCTTTTCTAAAATAAATTTAAGCTTTCAAAACAATATTTAGGCATAAAATTTGAAACATGGCAATATAGGCAAATTTGATTATAAATAATTCCTCACCTGTTGTCCATAAGTTGCTGCAGCAGGTGGTTGTTGTTGGTAAGAACTGGCATCTGTTGATGTGCCATAACTCCCGTAGGAGTAGCTGAAACAGAAATTGACTTTAAATTAATGAGATGTAAATGAATATTGATCCAATTCAACTTGCATGTTTTACTGTGCAATAAACTTTGGAAAACGGAGTGTACTCTATAGCAGTATGTCAGTTGCATGTATTTTATACAAGCATTCAAAAAGGTTTTACTCTCTAAGAGTCATCATATGAAATAAAAGAAACCACAAATTCATTACTATTTTCAATTCTCTGTAATGGACTAAGAGCAATTGATCACGATAATACAAAATACAAGCTAACAAGTTACTTGCAAGATAACTATATTACCTGGCTGGCTGCCCTGCTGATGTTGAGTAACTGTATTCTGAAACAGGAGAATGGACAGCAAGGTCTTAATCTTTTGTTGTATATAACAATAACATAATTAATTTCAAGAAACTAGAGCAATGACTATGTATAACGGTCTCACCTAAAAATTAAAAAAAATTTAATAAAACGGTTTAACATTCTTTTCGAAACAAATGGCAGATTCTTTGGGGGAAACATGGACTTAACTTAACTTTATCAAGTCAAAATCATAATGAAATCACTTTTTGTCTGAATACTTAAACAATGCAAATGTAACATACATTGTTGTTTTGCTTATTTCGCATCAAAACGTGAGTGCTTATAAAGTAAAAGAAAACCGATCGCTCAGATAATGATCAAAGTCAAAGGACTTATGTGTACATGTGTGTTGACTGATTAACTTGCCCACGCGTTTAAACAGAGAAACATTTTCACCTCATATTTCCTATCTTTGCTAATTCAAATGTCAAGGCCGAACACTTCTTTGTCACCAAAATAACAGAAACATGAATATTTCGTCTCTTTCAAAAAAGTAAGAGCTTATATGTTAAACACTTTCCAAATAACCTGCATTTTGGTGGTAATATGCTTTAGTCATAGCCATACATATCAGCTCATTTATCTATGAAGATGCGAAACATGCCGTCTTCTACTTGGAATGATAATATGATCGCCGAACTACCGGCATCAACTAAAACGGCGAAAATTGTGTTTACTGGTGCATTAATAGATAATTCCTTACAACATAAATGGAAATGATATAATAACACATTTTCAAAACATTATTTCAAATGGACTTAAAGTATCAGTTTCTCAATAAACGCATCTGAATAAGATGGATTGCACTTACGACTTGCGTCCGCCATGTTTTCTTCCCAAGCGTGGTGCGGGGTCACGTGACCGACAACCTCGTGTTCAAAATATTGACACGTGATTATAACCCTACCGTAGTTATACAAGTAAAGAAAAAAGTGTATGAATGTTTTTAGAATGAAGTTCTTTAAGCATATTCATGCAGGAAACAATACATTTTCCTAAAGTTTTATAATTGCTTGATAGTTCTATACTTGTTATATCATCATAGATTTTTTTTGTAGGCATGGTGACAGTAAAAGCAGAGATGTATATATCATATATATGTGATATATACGTCTCTGGTAAAAGTGAACAAAAGATCGAAATCATATTTAAAATGATTTAAGTAGGTATTTGTAAAAAAAATTGACAACATACTTTACTTTACAATAAAAAAAGATGTTTATGTTTATTTCTGATTTATGTAAATGACATGCGGATAAGTATAGACATTTCCTGTAAACTACTTCTGTATGCTGATGACAGTGCAATTATTTTTTCACATCACTTTCCCAAAACAATCTCTTCAAAATTATCCTTAGTTTTGGAATCATGTCATGATTGGCTCGTTGACAACAAACTATCATTACATTTAGGTAAAACAGAAAGTATTTTATTTGGACCAAAGAGAAAATTAGGACAAGTACCCGAGGATGATTTCAAAATTTTATGTAACGGTCAAAACATTGTTTCGCAATCTTCAGTAAAATATCTCGGTGTTACGATAGATAAATTTCTATCTGGAGAGGAAATTGTCTCCAACATTATCCAAAAAATCAACCAAAGACTTAAATTTTTGAACAGAAATAGTAAATGTCTATCTCTAAAATCTCGTAAAACTTTATGTTCTGCTCTGATTCAGTGCCACTTTGATTATGCGTGCACCTCCTGGTATGAAGGAATTACTAAGAAACTCAAAGGTATACTCCAGACTACCCAAAACAAAATGGTCCGCTTTATTCTTAACCTTGATAACAGAACAAGGATCACTGTCACTGAATTAGAAAAACTAGGCATGCTTAATGTAGAACGAAGGGTCCGTCAACTTCGCCTCAACCATACTTTTAACATCTATAATGGTAAATGTCCACAATATTTATATGAACTTTTCTCTCTAAACAAAAACTGTTTTGGTACTAGATCTGGAACGATGAACTTCTCAATAAAAAACGTTAAAAGCATAGAAAGTTCTTCCTTTTCTACTTCGGCCGCAAAAGATTGGAATTCCCTTCCAGAAAATATTAAAAATTCTAAAAATAAATATCATTTTAAAAACAAAGTAAAACAATTTCTGATGCTACAATCAAAAGGCGAATTTGACAACCCCTTCGTCTACTATTGAGCTCAACCTCCACTTCTTTGCGTCTGGTTGAACGGGTAGTGATGTTATATTATTGTTCATATTATGTTATATTATTGTTCATATTATATTATTATGTAATATCTCTTCAAATCCCATCCTTTTTCATAAATGCCCTGAAATGTGCCAAAACATTTTATTCACTTTCAGTATTTGTTTTCATATCTTCTATGTAAATGTAATTTTCTTTCAAATGTAGTGCTCTGTTTTATTTATAGTTAATGCTGCGAAAATTAATTCAATCTCATTTTCCATGGCTTTACATCTCAACCGGAATGATTACACCTTAAATGGACCCCATTGGAAATAAGCCTATTTTATAGGCTTTATGGGTAATCCAAGGCCAAAGGCATTTTCATCTGGTTTTATCAAATTTCTCTCTTTTTTATTGATATTTCTAAAATTTTCAACTATTTTACTTAGAAGATTTGCAAGCACAGTGTAATTTAATTTCTGCGATACTAGTTTAAACTGTGGTATTTTAAGGTATGTGAAATTCTTCTATGATATTTTATATTTTATAATTAATAATTTTAAGAAATCCACAATAATTTATTACTGATTTTAATTGTTTTTGAATTGCTTATGTAATATTTGTAATGTGTAATTTTATTATGCCTTTGCCTGAATAAACATAATAATAATAAAATAATAAAATGGATATTCTCATAAAAGACGTGATTAGCCCAAACTACATGTATATCACGTCCTATTCATATATCGTTCCAACCGTTTGCGATCATGAGCGGTCACAAAAAGTGTATCAAGATACAAAGAATAAATATACCACAATATCAATATCCTACCTACCTTTGTTATATCTTGTATGTATCTACCTACCTACCATTGTTATATTTTGTATGTATCCACCTACCTACCTTTGTTATATCTTCTATGTATTCACCTACCTACCATTGTTATATTTTGTACGTATCCACCTACCCACCATTGTTATATTTTGTATGTATCCTCCTACCTACCTTTGTTATATTATCTACGTATTCACCTACCTACCATTGTTATATTTTGTACATATCAACCTACCTACCATTGTTATATTTTGTATGTATCCACCTACCTACCATTGTTATATTTTGTACATATCCACCTACCTACCATTGTTATATTTTGTACGTATCCACCTACCTACCATTGTTATATTTTGTACGTATCCACCTACCTACCATTGTTATATCTTGTACGTATCCACCTACCTACCATTGTTATATTTTGTACGTATCCACCTACCTACCCATTGTTATATTTTGTTATCCACCTACCTACCTACCATTGTTATATTTATACGTATCCACCTACCTACCATTGTTATATTTTGTATGTATCCACCTACCTACCATTGTTATATTTTGTATGTATCCACCTAGTTACCATTGTTATATTTTGTATGTTTCCACCTACCTACCATTGTTATATTTTGTACATATCCACCTACCTACCATTGTTATATTTTGTACATATCCACCTACCTACCATTGTTATATTTTGTACGTATCTCCTACCTACCATTGTTATATTTTGTACATATCCACCTACCTACCATTGTTATATTTTGTATGTATCCTCCTACCTACCTTTGTTATATTATGTACCTATTCACCTACCTACCATTGTTATATTTTGTACATATCCACCTACCTACCATTGTTATATTTTGTATGTATCCACCTACCTACCATTGTTATATTTTGTACATATCCACCTACCCACCATTGTTATATTTTGTACGTATCCACCTACCTACCATTGGTACATTTTGTACGTAATCCTACCTATACCTACCTACCATTGGTACATTTTGTGCGTAATCCTACCTACCATTGTTATATTTTGTACGTATCCACCTACCTACCATTGTTATATTTTGTACGTATCCACCTACCTACCATTGTTATATTTTGTATGTATCCACCTACCTACCATTGTTATATTTTGTACATATCCACCTACCTACCATTGTTATATTTTGTACGTATCTCCTACCTACCATTATTATATTTTGTACATATCCACCTACCTACCATTGTTATATTTTGTACATATCCACCTACCCACCATTGTTATCTTTTGTACGTATCCACCTACCTACCATTGTTATATTTTGTATGTATCCACCTACCTACCACTGTTATATTTTGTACATATCCACCTACCTACCATTGTTATATCGTGTACGTATCCACTACCTACCATTGTTATATTTTGTATGTATCCACCTACCTACCATTGTTATATTTTGTACATATCCACCTACCCACCATTGTTATATTTTGTACATATCCACCTACCTACCATTGTTATATTTTGTACGTATCCACCTACCTACCATTGTTATATTTTGTCCATATCCACCTACCTACCATTGTTATATTATGTACGTATCCACCTACCTACCATTGTTATATTTTGTACATTTCCACCTACCCACCATTGTTATATTTTGTACATATCCACCTACCTACCATTGTTATATTTTGTACGTATCTCCTACCTACCATTGTTATATTTTGTACATATCCACCTACCTACCATTGTTATATTTTGTACGTATCCACTTACCTACCATTGTTATATTTTGTATGTATCCCCCTACCTACCTTTGTTATATTATGTACCTATTCACCTACCTACCATTGTTATATTTTGTACGTATCCACCTACCTACCATTGTTATATTTTGTATGTATCCACCTACCTACCATTGTTATATTTTGTACATATCCACCTACCTACCATTGTTATATTTTGTACATATCCACCTATCTACCATTGTAATATTTTGTACGTATCTCCTACCTACCATTGTTATATTTTGTATGTATCCACCTACCTACCATTGTTATATTTTGTACATATCCACCTACCCACCATTGTTATCTTTTGTACGTATCCACCTACCTACCATTGTTATATTTTGTACATTTCCACCTACCCACCATTGTTATATTTTGTACATATCCACCTAGTTACCATTGTTATATTTTGTACGTATCTCCTACCCACCATTGTTATATTTTGTACGTATCCACCTACCCACCATTGTTATATTTTGTATGTATCCACCTACCTACCATTGTTATATTTTGTACATATCCACCTACCCACCATTGTTATATTTTGTACATATCCACCTACCTACCATTGTTATATTTTGTACGTATCTCCTACCTACCATTGTTATATTTTGTACGTATCCACCTACCTATCATTGTTATATTTTGTATGTATCCACCTACCTACCATTGTTATATCTTGTACTTATCCACCTACCTACCATTGTTATATTTTGTACGTATCCACCTACCTACCATTGTTATATTTTGTATGTATCCACCTACCTACCATTGTTATATTTTGTATGTATCCACCTACCCACCATTGTTATATTTTGTATGTATCCACCTACCTACCATTGTTATATTTTGTACATTTCCACCTACCTACCATTGTTATATTTTGTACATATCCACCTACCTACCATTGTTATATTTTGTACGTATCTCCTACCTACCATTGTTATACTTTGTATGTATCCACCTACCTACCATTGTTATACTTTGTACGTATCCACCTACCTACCATTGGTACATTTTGTACGTAATCCTACCTACCATTGTTATACTTTGTACGTATCCACCTACCTACCATTGGTACATTTTGTAGGTAATCCTTCCTACCATTGTTATATTTTGTATGTATCCACCTAGTTACCATTGTTATATTTGTATGTATCCACCTACCTACCATTGTTATATTTTGTATGTATCCACCTACCTACCATTGGTACATTTTGTACGTATCCACCTACCTACCTATCCACCTAGTTACCATTGTTATATTTTGTACGTATCCACCTACCTACCATTGTTATATTTTGTACGTATCCTCCTACCTACCATTGGTACATTTTGTACGTATCCTCCTACCTACCATTGGTACATTTTGTACGTATCCTCCTACCTACCATTGTTATATTTTGTACGTATCCACCTACCTACCATTGTTTTACTTTGTACGTATCCACCTACCTAGCATTGGTATATTTTGTACGTATCCTCCTACCTACCATTGCTATATATTATGTCATTATTTCTATATCTGTTGTTATATACAAACTTTTTGTAACTCCTATACAGCACTTATTAGAATTTATTCTGTTTATCTGATACTTATTTTCTCACAGAAAATCCTATATGGTCACGTTAAAATAATTTTGAGAATGCTGTTATTTACTTTTCTCCTTCATCTTCCCTATTATGAACAGAAGGGTCTGTACATTCTCTGAGCCGTCATGATAACCCAGTAGAGCTTTGAATTAAATCACTTGCACTGAAGATACTAAGTAAAGTCACAGTGTGATTTAATCACAACCTGAGACGGTAGCATACCATGCTCTCCTGTTGTGGTTATATTTTTGATGTGATTTTATGTGACGGACCTCCCGTATGATGTTCAATGATGTAATCACAAGTTTATACCAGGAAAATCCACCCCAAATAGCCATAGCTTTTCAAAGGACGACAAACCCAACAACTAAACTAGTTTAGTTGCTTTTGTAATCTTGAAAGAATTATGATTTATTATCTTCCACTAGTTCGTAGAATATTGTTCGTCAATGGTTTCATCTATTTTATAGACAGAACTTACCACGGATTAAGATATAGATTCCATCTATATCCAAATCCGTGAACTAAAATAAATGTAAACAAATTTGCTTTGAATTATGACAATCGATTAAGTTTAATAACCATTATTGATTAATCATAAGCAGCTATTAAGAACGTACCGAGTCGCGCACTCGCGGATTTCTCGCTTCAGGTTAACGATTTTTTAAAACTATAAATTATATAGCGGCATTTCAGAAAAAATATTAATGTATCGTTTTGTAGATAAAAATTCCAAAAATGTATGCCTCTGGTCAGTAAATGTAATATTTCTTTGTTACAAATACATAATTAAAAAAATAGATGAAAATAAGTTGTGTCGTTTTTTAGTTGAAACTCAGACATGAATCTCCTTCATGGTCTTGCCAATTTTTTTTAAACAAAACGATTATTTTGACAACTTCAATGTGAAATAAAAGCAATTTTATGTATAAATATCCAAATGTATGTCTCTGACTATCAAGTATGGTAACTTTCCAACACATTGATACCACTTTGACTAAATTAAATTAAAAATTAATTGTGTCATTTTTTATGTGAAAATGGCACATTATTTCAGTTCACAGTCCCAACGCTGTACAGGTACACACGACATCGATGTACGTGTATCGATGAGTCATGAAGACGGACTGCTGTTTATATATAGTAAATAATCATATTGTTTTCTATTCAAAGTAAAACAACACCATCCTGTTGTTAAAAATTGTTGGCACTCTGAGAATACCCCCTTTATACATTCCGTTCGTACATATACGATGTAGTTTCAAAGGCATATGTACAGTTTACGACTGACATTTGTAACCATTGGTGTGAATATTCTCACCGATTCATTTACCGTAAATAAAACAATAATGACAAATCATGGAAACATTATTGAAGAATTGTACAAAGTACATACTATGTTGACGTTGTCAATACACAAAAAAACTTGAATTATAATATTCACAAAAAGGAAATACAGGAATCAAGCTAGATTTACATTTTCTGACGAACAACTTGAAATTGTTGACTCATATTCATATTTAGGATAATTGATTGCTATATATGGATGTAAGTCATAAATTTTAGTGAGAAATCAAATATACGAGTTCAATGAATTCAAGATTTGCTATGTACTACTATGCATTTGCATTGGATAGAAGCATTGCCACAATAGAGTGTTTTAAAAAATACTGTGGTGAATCAATTTCTAATCATTGTTCTTCTTTCCTTAGTGTAATGGGTTATAGTTAAAGGTAGATGTTGTAGATCCCTTCCGATCCGATTCCTTGCTCAAGAGTTTTCAGTTGTTAATCATCAGATTTTAATTGCTACAGTAATAATCAATTGTTCTGTTCAAATGCATTTTCAAATTCTAGATCTTCTCGCAGTTTTATTTTGTTTTAAACCAAATCCAGGGGTGTCTTTATCATACGTCCCTGACCAAATCAGATGATTTCGTCATATATTAAAGTAAAATTTTATAGGACATAGAGTCAGGCGATAAAAAAACAAGCAAATTCATGGAATTTATATCCCCCGCTTTCCAAACATATTGTAAATAAATATTTTAGAGGTTAGTAGTAAACATGTCATAGTGATATGTAGAATGATATGTTCTCTTGAGCTATGATGTATTGCTTTGAAGCCAAAGAAAGATGTAAAGGATTATAGAAAGTAGATGTTTTGTTGGACATAAAGTGTGACATTTACCAGTAAAAATATTGTTTTCTTTATAAACATGTGGATCATAACTCTGAAGCTAAGTTTAATGATAAACTGATATTATTTGTGGGACTTCAAGTTATGTCTAAATCAGATTAGATTTAGGAAAGGATACCTAATAAGTATGCATATATATTAACAGATGACACTGATAGTCAAACTCAGTCTTAATGACCTCAAGATGCATCTGCTGACCAAGTTTCACCCAAATTGGATGATATTTGGGGAAGTTAGAACACGGAAACGAAAGTGTGACAGACGGACGGACGCATGTACGCCTGGACGAACCCAAATTAATATCCTCCATTTCGGTAAAAGCAGGGGATAATTAAAAAGAGATGGCTAGAGTTCACACCTGTTCAGGTAAACCACAGGGGGTCTCAGTTGGGACTTTACACACGCGTCCTTCGAAATAATTTACCATATGCACGCATATAATAAAATGTTATGTTTTTATTCCTAAGATATTTTTGACCTGAATTGTAACACTGCTTTTTATAACAATAATTGAAGACAATTCATTTTTTTGTGATTTTGAGGATGGATAATCATGCTGTCACGGATTCAAATTCGAAATAAGTCCGACATGCTATGCACCGTATAATTCTACGGAAGCGTATTCCGGCCACGTTGTGTTTTATTTTATCTTGAAATTTCCAGTTAGTAATCCGAAATTTTGAGATATTAACGCGAAATTTCGAGATAGCAACGCGAAATTTAGAGATAGCAACTCGAAATTTCGAGTTAGTAATCCGAAATTTTGAGTTAGTAAGTCGAAATTTCGAGTTTGTGAAATTTTGAGATATTAACCCGAAATTTCGAGATAACTAACGTCACTATGTCCTAACACAGGATACACGTTAGGTACAGTAGAGCAAAATAATGAATTAAACAGCGCCTTACAACAGCTTCGTCCTTATTCCTCTCGTCAGCGATAATAATGGTTAAAATTTTAAAGCCCAATACGCGACTATGGCAAATCCAAAACGATCGAAAGACACTGGAGGATTGTCCCTTGTGTTCAACTTCCAGTGTAATTTCTATTAATAAAATTGATAAGTTTAACAGATAAACAAGATTCAATTCTCTTTTGAACGAAACATCGACATTTCAAATATAGTGAAAAGGTCTACAACCAATAACGTAATGGTGACACAGTGGTAAGATCCCTGCTCTCGACTGCAAAGTTCTTGGATCGAATATAAAATGAAGTATAAATGTCAATCTGATAATTCTTACATCGTCACAAAACGTCAGTGTATCTCTCTCTCTCTCTCTCTCTCTCTCTCTCTCTCTCTCTCTCTCTCTCTCTCTCTCTCTCTCTCTCTCTCTCTCATGTGTATGAAAAGAAATAGTAAAATATGGGAAAGTTGTGAGGTAAGGGATTATCCTTTTATTTACTATCTAATATATGATTGTAACATATCAATATATATAAATCATTTATGCTCGGCTTCGTTTGCTTCATACGATTTAAAGTAAATTAAATTTCGTTTATTTGCGTGCTCTGGGTTTTAAATCTGCAATCAGTGACGGGTTTCCTTACAAAAGAAATCTAATGGTACATGTCTTCATGAAAACGTTTATTTTTAGCATATGTTCAACAAGATCCATTGCACTGAAAATATGTTAAATTGACGACCTTGGCTAATATTGTCATTTTATAAAATTTGTGTACAGAGCGACATTACTGCTAATCAATATCATTGTCAATGCCAGGTGATTTTTTTTTTAAAAATACGACTTTTTACGATTTTATTTTCATACTTCATTAAGCCTAATAATACATCAAAAGCAGTTTTTCAAATTGAACAAAAATACGGACAAATATTTTCAATACTCCTATCAGATGTGCACGAAGTGAAGTTTTAATTATAACATTGCTCAACGGACTGTTGTAAAATCTATGCCGGGCTCCCCCGGACTGTATTAATATCGTCTACTGACCGACAGAACTCTTCAATTTGAAGTTTCGTTAGTTGCACGTTTGAAAACACAATGGCGGACCATGAGGAAAGTGAAAATACAATGATAACAGACGAAATTAATAAAGGAGAAGTGGGTGACGACGACAACCGAGATGAAGAAATGAAAAGTGACAATGAGGACAGTTCAGACTCTGATTCTTCGGTTAGTGACAGCGAGGACAACGAAGGCATTCAAAATGAGTTGAAAGTGCAAGACCTCTTGCAAAAGGTAATCGTGCTACATGTATCGTCAACTGGCGTACTAACATTGACAACGTAGATGCATACTATAACGTGTCCTTGTGCGTTGACTGTGTAACCCTGGTAAACTGTTACAACTGTAACCCGGGCGCTGACACCTATTTAATTCGTATGATAATAAAATACGATAGGTCATGTTAAATCGCAATATTAACCAACTATACTAAACAGATTGAGACACTACCTGTTCTAGTCATTTCGGCACCAAGATTTTTCGGCACCCAGTTGTTTCGGTACTTACAAAAGTCGGTTCGGTAACTGCAAAATGGTTTACACAGCTAGAGTGTCATTTTTTGAGCGAGCAGTTTTTCAGCAACGGAATGTTCAATATTTATTTAATGACAAAACACCATAAAGCACATAATTAAATACACCAAACATTTTTAAAAGTACTCAAAATATTTATTTTGGAAGTACCAAAAATAGGGGTGATGTACAGGATGTACATAATGTACTGCAGGATCAGAGTTATTACACTCATAAAATTCTGGACATTTTCAAACCAAAGCCACACACATGGCACATAGACTTCCTAAAGCAAGATACCATAGTCAAAATGAAAGCTAAACCAAAGCAAAGATAAACATACACAACTCAAATTTCTAGTATTGATATGACTACAAGGTTCGACAATAATGCAGAATGAAGCTTCAATGCCATAATGACATTCTGTTGAAAGTTTCAAGAAAGATAAAACACACAGAGAGTTTGGTTAATTGGTTGTTTCTTCATGAATTGTAAAGAATTTGGCACGGTGCAGCTTCTTCTTCCTGAGGGGAGGGGGTGTAAATATGCACTGGCGCATGAGGAGTATGGCTAAAACTCTTCTGGCAGTATTTGCAATTTGAAAACAGATCAAACTATAACATCTACAGCTGACTTGAGCATGCTGCTGTAATTGTCGTAAGCAGCTATTAAGGATTTGTGGGATATTTCCTGTGATTCTGTTGGCTGTTAGAATTTAAGTTCACTCCTTGCTGTCACCTGGTATCAAGTATCTTGCTCTTTCTATGTCCACTTAGTTAAGGATGACTTTAAACATCATGACAAGCCTGGATGTTTTATGGTGATGTTCAAGAGTGTTCCATTGAAGATCCTGCACCATGGTTTTAATGCACCTTGGGCTACGGTCCTTGTTATTGCCTGTTACATAACCGGCTGCCCTCCTTTGGACCCCCTTGAGAGTCTTGATTTGGACTGGTTGGTATGGATCCCACACTGTGCTGGCTTAATCCAAAAGTGCCTGGACCATTGTCTGATAAGCTATGGACATGATGTTTATATCCCTGGTGGTTCCTCTTGCTGAGTGCTAGGGTTCTGATGGCCTTGGTCTTAGAGATGTGATCATAACTTCCTCCAGAGAGTGGTCATGTAATTGATAGCCTGTCTAGAGTGGGCGCCGCTTGTTGGTCACATGAATCACTGTACACATTTACCGCTGGTGTTCCCAACATTGGAGTGACATAATGTCCTCTTGTAACTGTTTTGTGTTGGCTGTTCTTGATATGCTCCTGTACAGCAGGCAGTCATCCTAGAACAGCCGTGCATCTGACTGGGTGTGATCTGGCAAATCGTTGATGTAGGTTAGGAACAACAGTGGCCCCAGCACTGTCCCTTATGGCACTCTGAAAATGGCATAAGGATGGCTGGAGGTTGTACCATCTAGATTGACATACTGCATCCTCTTTGTTAAGAAGTCTTTGATCCATAGCCATGTGGTCCCTTGTACCCCATAGCAGTCAAGCTTGTGTAGTAGGCATTGGTGTGACATCTTATTAGACACGGAGAAGCTAAGTAGAAATGCACCTACTTGTTCCCCATGGATGAGTGACTTGGCAATACTGTCAATAGCGTCAATCAGCTGGGTCTCTCATGAATGTTTGCTTCTTAAGTCATGCTGCTTGTTTGTGAATATATGAAAATAAATGTAAGGAGCTGATAGCAATATATTCTAAATCTGTTGTAATTTGAATTTCTTCACAGATTGAGGAGAACCCATATATGTATGACTCCCACGTAGAATTGATAAAGATTCTGCGCCAGATGGGTGAGCTTGGTCGGCTCAGGGATGCTAGAGAGAAGATGAGTGAACTTTTTCCTTTGACAGAAGGTAATATATACCACACAATCATTAAGCTGCATCCCTAGTTTCCACATAACAAAGCTACTTATACCACTCATGTTTCCATGTAACAAAGCTACTTGTACCTCTCCTGTTTTCATGTAACTAATATGTCTGTCCAGTTTCTGTGTAACTAATATACCCACACCTGTTTTCCTTGTAAATAAACTGCATCAAGTGAGTTACCTCTCCTTCTTCCTTGTAACTGAAATTACAACTATTTCAATGTAACTCTATTGCATCTCCTGTTTTATGTAACTATACTACCTCTCCTGTTTTATGTAACTATACTACCTCTCCTGTTTTATGTAACTAAGTTTACTTTCCTGTTTTATGTAACTGAGTTACTTCTGTAACTAAGTTTGGATAGTCGGATAGTGCAGTGGTAACGCACTCTCATTTCACCTTAATGTGCGGGTTCGATTCCAGGAACGGGATGTGAAAAGACATGCCCGACCATATGGATTTTCCGTGGGTGTTACGGTTTACTCCCACTTCCATCCAGACCAAAAAGAGTGATTAATATAAGTTGGAAAAACTTTGTGTTACAGAGCTCTGGCTTGACTGGTTACGAGATGAGATACCACTGGCCACAGAGGAGACCGAGAGAAGTAAACTTGAACAGCTGTTTGAGAGGGCAGTCAAAGATTATCTGTGTAAGGATAAAAAAATAAAAAAATAAAAGTAAAAGTCTATCCTTGATGTGAAATGTATTGTATCAATGTAAAATGTTCTTCCTGGTAATTTGATTTTGGATCTGAATGGCTAAAAACTGGAACATAATGATTTCTCTCAGTCAGATTTTCAATGCTGGAAGTAAAGTTGCTTCATTAAGGTAGTCAGGCATATCACAATCACATGATACATTGTATCTTTATAATTTTATTTTAAACAAAGTTTATGAAACTTTTATTGATGTATCTTGTATCCTTTGGTTATGGAGATTTTTATGTGATGTGATTTATCAGTGTTATACAGAGTCATTATCAGATTTGTTTGGTTTAAAGCTGTACAGATTTGGCTGGAGTATGTACAGTACTCCATAGGAGGAATGGGCCTGAAGGGCGGTATTGATCGTATACGTGCTGTGGCAGAGCGTGCTCTGACTGCTGCCGGACTTCATGTCACTAGAGGGGCCTACCTGTGGGAGGCCTACCGTGAGTTTGAGAATGCAATTCTGGCAGGTTTACTGGTAAATATATAAATATAGATTGTTATGATTTTGGTATAATATAGTTTGCAAGCACCTGTCTAAGGCATATTATTTTAAAAGAAGTTGTCTCTAAACCATATTTATCCAACAAAAAGCCCATGCCTTGCAATAAGCCCACCCCTAACTAGTGCTATGCAAAAACAAACAAAAGTTATTTGTCCTGTAATACTGTTGGGTAACTCCAATCTCTGACTCAAAATTACATATTAACTTCCTTTTGCCTAATATGCCTTTTGTTGACTTTATGTGTATGCCATCTACTGGTGTTGGTGAATTTTTAGAAAGCTGCATATTTTGTGATCATTAATAGGTTTTCTTCTTGATAGTTGAAATAATCAAGAGTGACATGTCATATTTTGGAAAAACATTAAAATTACATTATTGTGATATTTTGGGCTTGTTATGAAATAATTTTTTGTTAATATTTGCTGTCTCTAAGTATATATGTCATTGCAAAAGATTTGTGTTAAAACCATGAAAAAACTACTTCAAACTTTCATATTTCTTTTTTGCAATTCATTGCTTGAGAAATATGTCTAGTTTGAAATGACCTGTTACGATGGTGAGAAATTGTTCTAATACTTTTTTAAATTCAATTAGTTTTAGGTATGTAATTTACCTTATCATATTGACTAAATTTATGAAAATACATTATTATATCAAATGACAAAATGCCAAGTATGATTTTGAAATTTAAAAAAAATTTGACAAGATTAAGTTTAATGCTGTAATAATTGTTTTAGCCACAACCTGGTCAGGTAGCCACCCAAGAGCAGGAGGATTTGTTCAAGGCCCAACACCAGAGAGTGAACTCCCTTTTTAAGCGACAACTGTCCATTCCTTTGTTTGGTAAGTGTTAAAAAGCCCACCGTTAAAATATGAATTATCTGTTTATGTCAGAGAGGGAGCATGAGGAATGAATACCACTTTCAAGGCACACAAATTACCCACTCCTGGCATGGGGAGGAGGTGATGAACGATAACAGTGTGGGACTCTTTCCAGGCCCCACTAATTGGAATGAGAACACTAACCCTTAACAGGTATCCATTTAAGGCCAATTTGGTTAATCTATTTTAACTGAGAACTTTTCATTCTTTTGTTTGGTAAATTTTAAAGGCCTGTCACCAGAAAATAAACTCCCTGTTTCAGTGACAACTGTCTTTTCCCCTGTTTGATATGTTTCAAAGGTTCAGAAGCAGTAACACAATAGTTATGTTTGTTAAACATGATGATTATATATTGTTCAGGAAAGCAAACATTGATTTATTGGTAAAGATTTTTTGATACAATAATTTTGTTATTTCATTGCCTGACACCTGTTGTTTATCATATCCACTATTGACTTATTTCACACTTTGTGTACAATATTCAGTGACAGGAAGAATTATTTGTGAATATTTGTTTTAATGTGATATGGCTTCTGGACAATGGCTGATTTGCTGTTCAGAAATGTTGATAGTTTAGTAACATTATAAAGAGCTGACAATGTGTCTGCTGTAGATATGACAGAGACCTACAGTGAATACCACGACTGGCTACAGGAGAAGTTAGACAACTATACAGAACAAACCTACAAAAAAGCCTGTACTAGACTGGACAGGATCAAACCTCTGGAGGAGTCATTGGTCAGTTGATATGTTGTGGCGAGATTACTGAATGTGGTGGTACAAATTGTTTTGTTTGTTATATCCTGGCAACAAAGTTGTCTGTCAGTCTGTAAACACAATGATGTACTGGCTACTCCTAATCTGCTAAATTGATTTCAACGATATTTGCTTGCTATAATCCTTATTGTAGATGTGCGTAATCTATATCAGACTGAGGGTTGAGTTAACACACCTTTTTGGAAAGTAATGTGCTCACTTTGCAGGGTGGAGGGAGAGTTCTGGTTTAAGATCACTTACAACAAACATGTTACATAATTAGCATCACAACTGTTATGGTATTCAGGTGACAAGAATGCTGTATGATGTACAAGAAGTTGAGTTCATGAATGATATCTCTTTCTATGTAAGAATGTGAATGACAATCTTATCAAAGTTATTTATTGATAGTTATTACACTTTATAAACATTGAATTATGGTTTGTTGTGATTGATTGATAAGGTCAGGTCTGTTGTTACAGGAATCCAGCGAATCACCAAGACTTGAGGAATACAGGGCTTATATAGAATTTGAGCTGAAAGAGGGGGATCCAACCCGCATACAGTGTGTGTTTGAACGTGCCATACAGGAAAATAGTCTCAACTCAGACTTGTGGCTTCAGTACACTAAATACTTGGTATAAAGCATCTTGAGCTGCATGATCTCATCATCTAGTTGCTATACAAATGACAAATATGAAGCAAATTTAGAATTGTCAGTCATTCAGGGTTTCTAATATTTTGTTTTAATTGCCAAATGTGTATATAAATCATTCTGATATTGCTTTGAGTTATCAGTAATTAAAATACAAGTGATTATAAACGTAGGTATCTTAACTTACATTTGTACTGTTTCATGAACACTTCAAAGCATGCTTGTACAGTATACTGTAAACATGGAAATCTACAAGTGGGGAAATTTGTATTAAATACATAGAGGTTTTAAGCAGTGTAAATTTTCACTACATGTTTTGTGACACATAGGGTGTTTAAGAAACAGGTGTATGAATGTATGATGATTTGTGATTTGTTACCCAGAGGTTTCTATGAGCAGCAATAGAAAATTCTAAAAAAAATGGTGATTTAATTGTAGAGTATGACATCTGAACAGATTGGTTCTATCTTAAATAGAATTTTGAGCGTAGAGTAATATCATATTTCTAAGATTGAAATATTTTGAATGACTGCAAAACAAGATATATGACCTGAAGATAAACTTGTTCAGGTGGTCATAATGTGGAGAAGTTCTTCTAAGGATACCTCTCTAATTTGTCTGTATGTGGGATAGTTGAGGAATACTGTATATGGGATATTTTCGCCCATGTACCATATTACACAAATTTGCCTCATGCTCATTTCATCCTATTAGGATTATATAAAAGGATTATATAAGGGTAAGACATTTTCACCCTTATCTTTTATTTGTCCCGCTGTTCATGGGTGAAAAGGGTTAAAATTAGACAGAAGTGAAAATTTTCAGGTATAAAGTACTTGAAACAAAGTAGAAGGCTACATTACAACATATTTCTAGATATCCACTGTTTGGTTTCTTCTAATCAATAAATAAAAGCAGCATACTGAGTAGGAAAATCATACCTGTTAACATATGAATACCAATGTCATATGCTTATGTATTTAAACTGTGTATAAAGCTATGACCTGTTGTTGTGTAGGATGAGAAGTTGAAGGTCAAGTCAGTGGTGCTACCTGTGTATGAACGATCTGTTCGGAACTGTCCTTGGTGTGGAAAACTCTGGCACAAATACATGCTTGCTATGGAACGACATCAAGAACCTCATGATAAAATCAAAGGTCACATTTCTTTTTTTACCTTTGTTTGACCTAGAAATAAGTTTGCTTTAATAAATCATTCATTTCTGTAGGTGATTTATTTTCATTGATTTGATGATTACTCTTAATCCAATGATTGGAATAAGACCTCTTTGTATCCACAAGAATAGGGGCTGATTCAAACAAAAAAATTGAACAAATATTGCCAATATTTTTAAAAAGAATTAGTTAGGTTTCAGATTTCAGTTATTGATGTAATATCTTATTTATAATTTTTGATTTAGAAGTTATTTGATAATGAATGATTTTTTATAGCATTGTTTTACAGATCATTGTAAACATTGGATGAACATGACAGCAGGCTGGGATGAAGGTCTGTATAGGACTTATTACAATACATGGACTGTGGCTGTGTAATAAACAAAACCTCATTGGTAAGGTTTGTGCTACGTAAACCATTTCATTTGATCACTTCCCAACATTTAACAGAAAGAAATGAGTTGTGTACTACCACTCCGAGATTTTAAACAAGAACGAAAAATGGATGTTTTTTAGCCATTGTCGTCTGCAGTGCGCCGTGCGTTGTGCTTCGTCCTCATTCAAAAAACTTCTTCTCAAATACTAGAAGGCCTAGGGGGCTAACACTTGGCCCATAGCATGCTGGAATGGAGCCCTACAAAGTTTTTTCAAATTAATGACCTTGACCCACTTTCAAGGTCACAGGGGTCAAATATGTTAAAATATACAAATGACTTCTTCTCAATAAGCAAAAGTCCATGAGTGCTGATATTGGGTCTGTAGCATGCTGGGATGAAGGGCTACCAAGTTTGTTCAAATAAAAACCTGACCCACTTTCAAGGCCATAGGGGTCAAATATTTGAAATTTTTAAACAATTCAACAACCAAAAGTCTCAGAATTGATAGTTATTGATGAAATACTAAGTTTATATTTTGACTTTAAAACTTATATTGAAAATATACAACTTTTTTCAATAAGCAAAAGTCCAAGAGTGCTGATAAAGCACTTCAGTCAGGTTTTAGTGCAAATGTGTTCAAGTGAATGACCTTGACCCACTTGGTGTCAAATATGTAAATCTGTAAACGACTTCTTCTCAGTAACCAAAAGGCTCAGAGTGCTGATATTGGGCCTGTAGGATGTGGGATGAAGGTAACAAATTTATTCAAATGAATAAAGCCCACTTATTACAAATACATGGACTGTGGCTGTGTAATAAACAAAACCTCATTGGTAAGGTTTGTGCTACGTAAACCATTTTTTATGTCCAAAATCTCAATTCCTTTTTAAGGTTATAAGAAATGAGTGTGAACTACTACATGGGAAAATCTTTTCAGGATTTCTCAATTTCATGTTGAAAGAGTAGGATATATTTTCTTAATTCATTCTCATCTTAGCATACAATTTGTCAATTCTGCAAGTGGAGTCTCCCTTTCTTCTGACTTGACCACTTTATCAAATTAACAGCTTCTTATTGTATATGATATCTGTATTTGCAAATGCTGTGTATTTATTGGTGAGATGGAGAAAGCATTGATATTTAAACGCTGTTCAGCTACTATTTTTTACATACCTTACATGTTAAAGAAATATGCCAATTTGTTGTGAGTGCCACTAGATATAGTTTAGTAATCTATGCCAACATGTTGTATTCAAATCTGGATATTATTAATATTGTTATTTTGACCCTCAGAACATGAAGAAGAATTGGAGCTGTTTCGTCTGACACTTGAGAGAGCTGTTGAACACTTAGCTGGTAATTCAAACTTTGGGATACTGCAATTCAATCAGATTATGTGCAGATGTTTAAAAAAAAATACAGAAGAAATACTCCTGCACATGACAAATGCCTCAATACAGCATTTCCATCCATTGTATTGTACATCCATCTGTCCATCCATCTGTCATAAACTTTTATTGCCTGGAGATCTCCTCCTTCAGTTTTCGATCAGTCTTTCCCAAAACTTGGTAGGCTTCACCAGCATGACATGAATTTGTATTTCCCTGAAAGGCAGCATGTTTCAATGGTATTCAGAGGAGTTACTGCCCCTTGTTGTTTTCGAAAAGCTAATCTTGTCCAAAGATCACCTCTCTGAGTTTTCAATCAATTTCTTCTCAGATTTGGTAGCCTTAATCACTATGACATGATGTGTTTTCCTGAGCGTCAGTTTGGTTTGACAGTATTTGAAAAGAGTTACTGCCCCTTGTTGTTTTCGTAATGTTCATATTGTCTGTAGATCAGTTCTCTCAGTTTTCAATTAATTTCATATGAGTTTGGTAGGCTTAAGCACTCTGACATGAAGTGGTGATTTACTACACCACATTTTGATTCAAGAATTTTTTAAAGGAGTTATTGCCCTTTGAATTTTTAGCATTTTAATTTTACAAGGAGATCTCCTTCCTCAAACTTTCATCAACTTCTCTGTGGAATTTGTAGGCTTTATGGATGTTACCCGAGATTGTGTTTTACTTACTGGCATTGTGAATTTACAATTTTGGAATGAGTTATTGTCCATTGTATTGATCATCTTCAGTTTGCAACCATTTTGATTAAAATTTTGTAGACTTAAAAACCTCAACAGGAGATTGTGTTCTCTTGAATAATGTTTTAATTCAACATTTCAAAAATGTTTATTTCCCTTTGCTCTCTTCAGCATTTTGAATTTGTCCAGAGATTTCTTTCAGTTTAAACATCTATCATTGTTTTCCCTCCAGACAATTTGACTTATCATTACCATTTTCATACTTGTATACTTTTTTATACAACAAATCTTGAATATTTCTTTGGAATGGGACAGGCGTATATTGTTCTGCCTGCCAGTATGCTTCTTTGAACATTTTATGGGAAACATGTATTTTATTGGTCTGGTGTGATCTTTATTATATCTTCATCATAACTGATAATGGAGAAAAGACTACAGGACAGTGTTTAGATATTGTGCGCTCTGTGTCACTCTTGCAGTCCTTTTTCCAAAATTAAGGTGATATTTCAGGCCTTGATATATAAAATCAGTGTTAAAGGAAAATATAAATTCATACCTAACTTTGGCTTTGGTAATGAGTTCTGTTCTTCCTAATATAGTTGTGTGTTTTTTCTTACAGATTATGAAGATGGTGACCCATTTGGAACATTAAGGCAATACTGGGCAAATATTGAGGTAACTTTATATTGGAATATTACGGTAATGCTGAGCAAATATTGAGGTAACTTTACTTTGGAACATTGCAATACTGGACAAATATATTTTCAGATCACCAACATCATATGGTTTACCCTCCATATTGCCCTGCATCTGTTACATTAACTTTATTTATCCAGTGGACAAGTACTGGATGATTTTTTTTCAAATTTCACATGTAACTTAAAGTTTATATGTTTATTTAGAGACGGAGAAATTGTTTCTGCAATGCTGCCCTTTCTAAAGCTTGTAAAAATAATTTTCCTATGATGAGCACTATAGTTATCAACTATATATATATATTTTTAATTAAGGACAAGAACAATGTTGATAAGGAGTTTGTTTCTTGTTCCTCATACTGTATATCACTGCTGGCAAAGACTTGACCTGGTTATGTTTATTACTGCTGGCAAAGTCTTAAACTGGTTATGTTTATCACTGCTGACACAGACTTGACCTGGTTATGTTTATTACTGTTGGCAAAGTCTTAAACTGGTTATGTTTATCACTGCTGACAAAGACTTGACCTGGTTATGTTTATTACTGTTGGCAAAGTCTTAAACTGGTTATGTTTATCATTGCTGACAAAGTCTTAACCTGGTTATGTTTATCACTGCAGGCAAAATTCTGTAAGAATGTGGTAAAAGCTAGAGAGATATGGAACGAGATCATGACTGAAGGACACGGCAACGAGGCTACAATGTGGCTTGAATTTTACAAAATGGAGAGGTATTTTTATAATATTTTAATTATGACGTTAGTATACAGAATTTCCTCATTGTGCTGTGACTGTTTGCTTTGATGAAACTACCTGACCATTCTGAAATTATTTGAAAATTAATTTTTCAAAATTTTTCTTTTATTGTCATTATGAAACAAAGGCATTCAAATCAAATGACTATCAGTGTGGTTTTCTGTACCGGGTCAGATATATATATCACTCAGAGGAACAAAAGAACAGCCTGATGAAATTTGCTTATTTATTTGATTTTTTAACAATTTGATTTCTGGCAGTCATCAGTACTCTATGGTGAGTAACAACCTGCAAGAAGTCAGACTACCAGACATCGGCTATAGGATGCAACCATTTCAAATATTTTTCCTCATTTCAGAATGTATGGAAACAACAAACATTGCAGGAAAGTGCTGACAAAGGCACTCAACTCTGTTACAGACTGGCCGGAGAGCATAGTAGAAGCTTACACCAATTTTGAAAGGGAAGAAGGTACCAGTACATTGCAAAAAAAGTTTGTAAATCTTAAAAGTTGACAAAAATATAAATGATAGAACCAATGCTGTGGTTTATCTACGGGCTGATCCAGGTGCCCTATACTCTTCAGCTTGATACCAGAAGGTATGCAGGGTGTTTTTGTCATAGTGATAATCAACCCAGGGTAAAACAACTAAACTGCTTCAGAGTTTTAGTTCTCAATATATTACATGTATTGAAGAACTCAAACTCAGAAGGTGTTGTAGTTGTTTTACTCTAGATTAAAAGTTTATATATACATATAAGTTCATCAGTCTAATTGAGGATGTATTATTGTTACTGAACAGGTAACATGGAAGATTATGACATTGCTGTAACAAAATGTGAGGCACAGATGGCAAGGATCATGGAGAGACGGCAACAGGTATCTTTTTAACTTTTTTACACTTTCTTAGATAATTCAACATTCACGGGTGACTAGATACATAATTCAACATTCACGGGTGACTTTACACTCTACTTCTTGTGTAGTTACAATTTTAGAATGTATTTCAACTTCTTGTGTAGCTACAATTCTATATTTTTTTATGGCTAGAAATATCATTCTACCTTCATTTGTGACAAGGTATCTACTACTACATTCACTTGTAACTGGATATATTTCTGCATCCACTGGTGACAAGATATGCAATTTCAAAATTCACAAGTAAAAGTTGCCATAATCTTTGAATTATTACGAAGATGATTTGCCTTGAAAATTAGATGTATTACTGAAATGACCAATTATCTGTCTTTGTCTATTTCACGTTACACTGTTGAGAAGTTGACAATAAGAAATACATGGTTGATGATAGAACTAACCGATGGATTGTATTCAAAGGCAGCAGAGAAGGAGGCAGCTATTATGGAGCAAAAGAAGCAGGGGAAAAGTGATAAAAAAATCCAGAAAAAGGGTCAGAAAAGCACAAATCAACAAAGAACCAATCAGTTTCATGGCAAGCAAAGGTCAGAGGCTGATCAGAGTCAAAGGTCAACTGGTGAACAAAGTTCAGGAGTGAAATCAAGATTAACAGATCAACCAGAAAAAAATGTGGAAGATTCAGAAAATGTTGGACAAAAGAAAGGAGAAAAAAGAAAGGTAAAGCAATATATTTGCTCAAATTTTATCAGCATTTACAAAAAGTTGTGCCTCTCAGTCTGTGTTCTTATAGTGTTATATCAAATGATGCCTGACAAACTTGTTGTGATGAACGCTCATTAAAATGCAAGTTGATGAGAAATTCATAACATACCAAAGATATATATTGCCATAACCTATTTTGAACAGACCCATGGTGGAGGAAAAGAGATATGTGTGTGTTTTTCAGATGCCACGCTTCAGAATTAAAATTTCACATTAGTCTATGGTTTTGAATTGATAAAGGTTTAAATGTCACATTCTTGTCTGTTTCACAGTTAGAAGAATCAGTTGATTTTAAGGTTCCACCACCTCCAGGCTTCAAGGGGCCAAAGTCTACCTCCCAAGGTCCACCGCCAGGCTTTAAAGGACCAAAATCTAGTTCTATGGGTCCTCCACCAGGCTTCAAAGGACCAAAACCTGGTTCTATGGGTCCTCCACCAGGCTATAAAGAACAATCAAACAATACGTCAGAGACGCCTGCAAAGAAAGCAAAACTAGGTATGTTTATACAATTTACAGAAAAGAACTGTGTAATGAAATGGAATTGATTATTGATTAAGCTTTGATCAGAATATTTTTTAAGTTTGATGTTGGTTTGAAAAAAATCTGATTTAAAAACTAGTGCTTTTATACCAGCATGAAACAAAAACAAAAAATTCTGTCCTAACTTTAAATTAATTATTCACCAAATAATCATTTTTCAGAAACAAAGCCGAAGACATCAATTAAATTGAAATCCCTCCTTTAATCATGAGTCAAACACAAAATTTATAAGTTGAAGACATTTTGTTTGGTGTTGTAATATTGCATTTTGCATTTAGATTCCGACACCACAGGACAGCATGGCGGTGATGGTGACTTCACTGCAGACCCAGCCATGCAGAACAGGACAGCCTTTGTCAGTAACCTTGACTTTTCTATAGGCGAGGAGAAACTTGGTGAATTGTTCTCTTCGGTAAGATTTTTGAGAAAACAGATGTATACATTTCTGTGGTATGATGATATTGCTGATATAGTAAACATTGATAAGACTGATCCATTGAAATGGTGAATAGTTTGGTCCCATAACTGTTACTGTACTAGAATGTATTTATGATAATAATTGATTTGTTTTATTATATGAACTGTGAATCGTCTTTACTAAAGAAGAAGATTTTGAGTATTGATCTTCTGAAGATTTATGGTTTAGATACTGAGTCTTCACATTATATTAAAAACTAGTTGGGTTTATATGTTTTAGGTGCTAACTTTAAAGATAATGAAATGGTATTTAACAAATTTTGCAACCCAGTTTTCAGAAAGTGATGGAAGAATATGGTTTTATTTCCTGTCTTAAATTTTACTTTTCGTGTGGAGTGAAAAAAATGATATGGTCACTTGGTAGATACTATAAATATGACCAGTAATATCTGTAAAATCCATCCAATCTGTGGAAAGAAATAAAGATCAAAGTTACTTTTCAATCACACCTGAAACAGATGTTCTTTTCAACTTACTATTGTTTTATTTTCAGTGTGGTGAACTTACAGACATTAGGATTGCAAAGAATTTCAAAGGCAAATCAAAAGGGTTTGCTTACATAGAGTTTAAGGACGAGGTAAATAAATTTTCAGTTATCTGGAGATGCCATATTGCCCTGCATAGGTGGTCTATGGATACTGGTCCATCTGTCTGTCCTTAAACGATTCTTATTATCACTACTTCTTGAGAAGTACTGGATGGGCCTTTTTTCAATTTTTAGAACTGTAAGAAAAACAAAATACTGACAGGTAATGAACTTTTATTTGACAGTTAGAGATTATTGTTGCTACTTCTTGAAAGGAGTTCTCAAATTTCTTATAATTATGAGCAAATAAAAGGAAAGCAAGAGAGGAGAAAATTTCCAAACTTTTAAGAACAAATTTGTTTTCATCAGTCTATTATTATTATAACAATTGTATCTTGATGACCCGGATGGAAGTGCGCGAGGGGGTCTTACTGTGGGAAGAAATCAGAGTACTTGGGGGGAAAACCCTAGTTTCCCCCCACCACCCCACCCCACCTCTCTCTCTGACCACCCACTTAATCCATCCTGTATGGGATACTTCTGTTCTAGTTCGGTGCAATGAATGCCATAAAGCTTGACCGAAAGTTGGTGGAGAATCGTCCAATGTATGTCTCAAAGTATGAGGAGAAGGGCAAAAACAAGGCACAGTTCAGAGTAAGTATTGTTAAATAAATTACACTAGTTTAGAGTAAGTTCTGTTACAATAAATCACAGTTAGTACATGATATATATATCTTCTGTTCATATTTTATTTAAATATCTGTTTCAGTCTCACTTATAACTGTTAACTGTTAGAAAGAAATATTATGATAATTTACATCCCAACACATGCAAGCTTTAAAGAGACAGAAGTGTGAAAATTGACAAAAATGTAAAAATGATTAAAAACAAAAAAGAGGAATCATTTTGTAAAAAACAGTGAATATCTTTATGAAATAATGATTTTTTTTTATCAAACATGCATTTTATTACTTTACTTGCCAACAGTATGATAGAAAATGTTTTTGCATGTAGATTTTGCTCATTACCCTCTCTAAGATCTATAGGTGTATCAGAGGTTGTTTCATAAAATATTGAGATAAGATAATGGTAATCTTTGAGAAAAAATATAGCATTAAATCAGATGCACAGATATGGACTTGATCTTTAAAGCATACAGTGATATAGATCTGAAATAATGCTTCACTTTTTAATCTGGTCTTTTTAGTATTCTACCAGTATGGAGAGGAACAAACTGTTTGTGAGTGGTCTCCCTTTTACCTGTACTAAGGACGCTCTACACGTCATGTTTGGAACGGTAAGGAAATAGGGCAATCATTAACCTTTCCTTGTAATCTACTGTGTGTTACTTATCCATAGTGATTCTTGTCACATCTATCCTGTATCACTTATCATATGTACATATGTAAGTTGTATTGTGAAGACATGTTTATTCAGTTGTGTCCAAGATTCAAGGATATGGCAAAATTTCAACTTTTGATGTTAAAGACAGAAAAAGATTTTTAAAAAAAAAGGAATGAAATAAACACCTTGAAGAGTCTGATATTTTAACTTAATGATTAAGAGCTTGAAAAAGTAGTATGATAACTGATTTTGTCTGTTTTTTTTGCCATTTTCATGTAAGACTTTTGGCTTTTATCACAAATTTTATTTTGGTTCTCGAGTAGTTTGTTTAAATACAACAAATCTCTTTCACCAACCTCACTTCAATTTGAGTATCCTCTAAATCTTGATTGAGAGAGGCTTCCTAACCAATCACAGACCATGTCTACTACAAAAGCTGACCAAAGACTGCTTAATCATTCACAGACCTTGCTGACTAAAAAGGCTGACCCTCAACTTCCTGACGAATCACAGATATTGCTACCAATTCCAGACCTTGCTGAATACTTCAACTGAACCTATACTTCCTGACCAATCATAGACCTTGCTAACTGCTAAAGCTGACTCTAGACGTCCTAACCAGTCACAGATATCGTTGACTTCTTAAGCTAACCCAAGACTTCCATCCAATCACAGACCATGATGACTACTCAAGCTGACCCTAGACTTCCTGACCAATCATAGACCTTGCTGACTACTCATGCTGACCCTAGACTTCCTGACCAATCACAGACCTTGCTAACTACTAAAGCTGACCCTAGACTTGATGACCAATCACAAATAATGCTGTGTACTTAAGCCGACCCAAGACTTCCATCCAATCACAGACCATGCTGACTACTCAAGCTGACCCTAGACTTGCTGATCAATCATAGACCTTGCTAACTGCTAAAGCTGATCTATGGCTTCCTGACAATCACAGACCTTGCTAACTACTAAGATGACCCCAGACTTCCTGATCAATCACATACCTTGCTAACTGCTAAAACTGACTCTAGACTGCCTGACCAATCCCAGACCTTGCTGACTAATAAAGCTGGCCCTCTCATGATCAATAACGGAGTGTGCTAACTTCTTAAGCTGATATTAGACTTCCTGACAAATCACAAATGGCTTGTCCTATTTTGTTGCTGTCCAGTCATAATTATGACTGATTACTAAAGCTGACCATACTTTCTGATCAATCACAAACCTTGCTGTCCTCTGAAAATGACTCTAATTTGGTTTTCCTTATACAAATCGATCTGTATAGTATGTGGCAGGTCTCTTACATGTTGTTCAACAAGGACGTTACCAGCTTCAGGGAGACATGGCCTCAAAATTGCCCTGGCTTTCAGATGACTTAGTCAGATCACTCCATGAACAAACAAACAGATAACCTCAAACTCTTGATACATTTTAGAACATGATGCTTCTTCCTTTATGACATAGATGGAGAAATGTTAGATAGTTTGGGAAATGTAAACATAACTCTCAAATGGTTTTCAGGATATAGTTGGCATTAATATGAATGAAACTTTAGATACAGAAACGTAATCAAGAAGTCGTAAAAATCTATTGGATGTCATTTTATAAATCTGCCACAAGATTACATTGATAATGACAATAAATGCAACCTGATGATCATTCAGTGGTTAAGTGCAATATAACCAGGACATACTAACTCAATCATAACAAGGAAATTCAGTAGACATTGATTGGTATGTCTAGCCTATTTATGGTATCATCATGTGTATCATAGATTGTAATGGGTTGTCTGAATGTTCTATAACCAGAAAATCTAATTATTTATGTAACATCACCAGGATGAAACAATTGATAATTCTCTTCCTGACTCAGCATGCTGTGTAGTACAAACTGTTTGTTAAATGGAACATGAAATGATACGGAAATGATACAGGAAGTAATGGGATTCTAGGTTCTAAGCTGTTTTACAGCTGAAACTTGTGCTGCCAATTTTTTTATTCAGTGACATTTTTTGTGTTACTATTATTTTCACACATGAAAACTTTAATATACTACAGTTATTTTTATAAAGAGACTCATGTATTTAACTCACATGGCCCAAAGGGTCAAGTAAGCTGATGAATATAACGCGGTGTCTTGTCCATCTGTTCGTCAACTTTTTCATACAGATTGCTACTAGTCATAAACGACTCTCAGGATTTTGACCAAATTTGGTCAGAAGCATCCCAAGGGAAATGGGAACAAATTTGTTATTAATGGTGGGTCTGGTTAGCAGGGGCCTGTGGGATGGGGTCCAAAAGGGAAAATTATAGTGATGATTGGGCTTTGCTCAAATGTAGTTTGAGGTGTTGTTAGGTGAAGTATATAAATGTGAAGTGTATAAATGATGGATCTTAGCCTCCTGCGGTGGGAGGGGCTGAGCCCAATAGAGGAAGTAGAGCAAATTCTTTAAAAATCCTATTCCTGTAGGAATGATTGGATTTTGCCAAAATTTAGTCTGAAGAGTTATTGGGTGAAGAGGGAATCAATTTTGTTTAAATGATGGGTCTCTGTACATTGGGGCAGGAGGGGAGGGGCCCACGAGGAGCAATAGAGCAAATTCTTTAAAATCCTACTCCTCCTGTAGGAATGTTTGGAATTTTCCAAATTTAGTATGAAACGTTATTGGATGAAGGGAAATCAGTTTTTGTATTCCAGGTAAATGGTGGGTCTCTGTCCCCTGGGGCAGAAGAGGAAGGCCCACTAGGGGCAACAGAGCAACTTCTTTAAAATCATACTCTTCCTGTTGGAATGAATGGATAATTCCCAAATTTTGTCTGAAGCATTGTTGGGTAAACCAGAATCAGTTTGTGTGTTAACACTAGATTCTGGCCCATTAGGGAGGGAAAGGCAGGGCAAAATTGGGGAAATAGAGCAAATTCCTTAATATCATGATTCTCCACTAGAAACGATTAGATATCACCCTAATTTGGTCAGAAGTATTCTTCATTGAAGCGGAACAAAGTTTATTTTAGGATTGGTTCTCAGTTCCTTGGGGCTTTAGGGGGAGCCAAAAAGGGGAAATTTTGCTAACGTACCAATAATTCCTTTTAACTCTTTTCTTCCCATATTTCATTTTTTTTTTCAAATTCTCAAATTGTTGAGACTTTTTTACCTGTGAATAGTTAGTTAGTTTTTTTTCCTGACATTTTGCTCCATCAACAGCTTAGGTAATTTTTAGGCATGCTCTCCTTATAGCAACTTGCAGCTAGCTCACTGAATAACATTGGCAAGGGCTGTCACATGCTGTTCAAAACTGAAAAGGAGTGACAGAACACTTACAGAAACATCAAACTACCTGTTTACAGCACAATATGTCCACATAATTTAACTGTGATATCCTACCAGTCCAGGGTTTTAAACATTTAAATGCTTGTTTGCCTGTTATTTCATGAACCCCAGGACAGATGTAGTTGGTGTTCACACCATATTGTCACACTATCTATTTCTACACTTGATTAGATTTTTTGGTATACCGTTACAGCATGGTCAGATAAAGGATGTGAGAATAGTGACATACAAGAGTGGGGCCCCCAAGGGACTAGCATATGTGGAGTATACAGATGAGGTGAGTTAAACTGAAGGCTACTTTTTCATGATCAATATAACATTGATATCAGGTAAATTTTGTATATTTTGAATTTCAGTTTATTGATAGTAAACTGTTTTTATAGCAGGGATAAATAAAATCTGATATTAAATAACATTGCCATAGTGTTCAGTCTGAGTACAATAAGGTAAAGGTAACACACTAACCAGTATGTAAAAACTATATATGTCGAGTCCCTTATTGCAGGATAAACAAAGAAATGCATTAAAACTTTTGATTTCACTGTTTCTGTCTGTCACCTTTACACTTAAAACTCCAGAATTTAACTTCAGATATAATTATATCACACAGAGAAACCATCGCTAATTATGTAATGTAAAAGAAAATTATTGGTGTATCATGTAAAGATGAGCATGTATTTGTCTGGTGAATTCAAATATTCACTGAGGACAAAGATTTTCTTAATATAAAAATATTTTTTATTTGTCCAACATTTAAGGATTAATGCATTTTGAAAGTTTGAATTTTAAAGATTCACAAAATATAGAAAGGTGATGGTGAATCAAATCTATCCCTGAATTCACATTGAGTTCCAATTGTTCATTGTTGACAGCAAGATGCAGCACAGGCGGTACTGAAGACAGATGGAATGATAATCGGTGATCACACCATTTCTGTCAGCATAAGCAATCCCCCAAGTCGTAAAACTCCACTCAATGAACGCGATGACCAAGTCTATACTCCTTCTCTTGGATCCGGCAAAAAAGAGACAGAGACGTAGGTTTTGTACAATCCATTTCCTTTTCTTAAAATAGTTAAATGGAGTATAAATATGGCTGATTTCTAGCTATACTATAGTCTAAATTCTTTAAATAAAACTAGAACTCATTCTCTTCTTTTCTTTGTCAATAAATCTTACATCATCTGGAATCTTTTAGACCACAGCTTAACTTATCAGGATATTTTCATTTTTGTCAAATTAGAATGTATATAATCTGAATGGAGATGTTTAGGACAGTTGATATTTGTTAAAATGAAATTTTACAAGAAAAAACAAACAATTGATAAATCATATTTAGTTGTATTTTGTACAACCTTGTTTATCTTATCAGGCGGGGAAAAGCAAGGACACAGCTAATGTTGTTGCCTAGATCCGTGAAAAAACCTGCAGTGAGTGGAGGACCTGTGAAAACTTCAAACGATCAAGACAGTGCTAGCAGAACAAAGAGTAATGGGGAAAGTACAAATAGTCAGAGCACCACGGGGATGAGCAACGCAGACTTCCGAAGTATGTTGTTGAAAAAATGAGTCAACCAGTGGACACCTAAAATAAAGTATTAATATGTAGTCGAGACAAGGCTGAAAAGAGGCTACCAGTGTTTGACCACAGTAAAAATGAAGAGACATTTGGGTAGATGATATGGCTGTTGTAAGTGTGACAGATGACCTCAGTAAAAACAAAGTGAACAGTTTACTTTACGAGTGATTGACCACAGCAAAAAAATGAGGTGACTGGTAGTAGAGTACAGATGAAGTGGGACGATGGTTGGTTAGAAGTTTTCCATCTCTGTGACTCCTCCTATCTCTAGGTGTTGTTTCACCAATGAATGTCAGTGTTCTGATGATGTGTGAGATGATCCGATTGTTTTGATGAAGTGAAATGAATGACAGATATATAGCAGAAAAAATAAATCACCATGATCAATGATTGTAAAAGTACATAAGTGTTCGTCTGAATGTCTACATCAGTAGTGCTACTGCAAGAGGAACTTTTGGGTGTCGTTGAAGTGGGAGACTGATTTATAATGAGAAAGGCAGTGTGATGTGATTTCTCTGATATCCGGACATCAATGTATTTTGGAGATGCAAGTATTTAAAGATTAAATGTATAAGTGTCTGTCAGTAATAAAATCTCTTTTGTCATACTCTTACCTGTACTTAGATGACCATGGTCACTTTGTAATAATGATAGCTGTTAGATTAAAAATATGGTCCTCGTTAATTCAAGTTTGTAACTTTTATGATACTGTTGTGGTTCTCGCTGAAAGTGCTTGTTATTATTTTGATTAAATTAGATTGATTATTTTTTAATTGGAAAAGTGATCACTTTCTGAGGTATGATTAGTTTTTTTTGGGGTGTACTACATGTGTACATACATGCATTATGCACATTGTGTTGGAGTCCTACAGTATATTTTATGTTGGGGTAATTAATGAGAACTATGAGATTGGAGTCCCAGGTGTCATACCTTTACTATTATAACATTTGACTCTAAGATGATTGTTGTTAAAGAAATGAAATATATTTGAATTTTACATCAGATGTAGATTTAAGGCCTTATTTGTGCTATTAATGTAGATGTTTCTGTCGTTAAGGCACTGTCTTTATATTCCCCACTCAGTAAAAGAGGGGTAATATTTGCTTTGTTTGTACAAATGTCTGTAGTACAAAGTTTGTTTGCCAGGTATTTCATACATCCCTTGACAGATATAATTTATATTACAATCAAAACACCAAACCACACATTCTACATCTGACTGGATTTTGGTGGTCATTGTCTAAGGTTAAAAGGTCAAAGGTCACACCAGACCTCTTTTGAAATAAAAGATTGTGTGCAAGATATCTTAGATAGACCCCTTAATTCATTTAGTTCATATTCACAACATACAAGTACCACACCATTAACTTTTTAAATTTTGATAGTCATAGGTCAAGGTCAAAGGTCATACTCTCCAACATTTGAAATAAAAAGCATGTTTACAAGATATCTCTTGAACCTGTTCACAGATTAAATTCATATTCACACCATAATTTCATAACATTAAATTTTACGCCTGATTAGATTTTGGTAGTCAGAGGTCAAGGCTGACGGGTTAAACGTCACAGTTGATTACATTTGAAATTTAAAGGTTTGGGGATGGAGTATATCTAAAACATTGCTATATTTATGTGTTTCTTATGAATTAAACTATATCTACAGACAAGATTTATTCAATTGTGTTCAGTTTTCTTAAACAGATAGTTGATTAAGATATTGTTAAGATTTTGTTAGGATTACCTAAGTTGGGTATACATGAAATAAAGAAAGACAACTCCATCTTTGATTTTATTTTTAAGACCGAGTGTTATTCAGTTTTATGTAGTTTAAAGAACTTCTTATCTTACTTGTGATAAGTAAATATCAGTGGAGATTTTAACAAACATGTGTTACATCATTGAAATATGATGAAATAAATATTGCTTAACTGTTGAAACACCTGCTGTTCTTGTTGTATTTTATACCTCCCTTCCCTTACAGATGTCTCAATGTTAATACATTACGTACAATGATGTATATTCATAACTCATATTGCACCCTTGTTTTGTTGATGATGCACATAAAGAACAATAGATATATTTGTACATTAGTATTGTCTTAATATTGAACACCAGAACTCAACAATGTACACTTCTGTCCCACTTCTGTCCAACTTCTGTCCCACTTCTGCCCCACTTCTGTCCCACTTCTGTCTGGTACCTAAATTTGTGCATTTGAAGATAACCCTGGTTTTGTATGTTTTACATGAATACTTCTGGTAATAGTGATATCTTATTGTGTGAACATAAACAATTTGAGCACTGTGGGAATAATATTAAGGACCAACTGAAGATATTACTACTCAATTCACCTATATTTGAAAATGTCTTTTATTTTAACACTTCAATCAATGCAAAGTTACAAAATTTTCTGGACTTACATGAAAATCTACAGGACTTCAGCTTGACATATTAGTAGGAATGTATATATAAATCTAATGTTCTGTAGTGTACATGATGTAGCTATACTACAAGGCAACAAAAATATCAAAACTTTTCAGTTAAGTTTAAATATATTTTATTGCCAATAAAAAAAGACAATAGGATTGGACACAAATTAGTACAATATTATTAACGCCCCCTCCTGTGATGCATGTTTTAACTATACATAGATATTGGCCTTGCTGGGTAATATGTTAAGTGAACATATTACACTAAAAACAAGAAGACAAAGGAGAGGGAGAAAGGGAGAGGATGAGAGAGAGGAAAACGATTTCAACACACTCTGCACAATGTTCTAGGAAGTGATTCCACCTGTTTTACTGCCTACACTGGGTGACTGGGGAACACTGAATGTTTATCATTTCCCATGGGAAGGAATTCCAAATTCATAAATGAAAAATAAGCTAGAGAAAATTAAGAAAATTTTTAGCAGCATTTGTTTGATGTGTCAGAATAATTTGAGCATTTATTAATGAATTATTACCAGGCATGTTGATGGCATATTTAGGACCTGTATCTATTTGTCACCAGATATGAAGCCAACTAGGAATTTTTGTTCTGTATGTTCTTATAAACATGAAGGAAATTTGTTGCAGTTACAAATTTGGGAGTTTGGTATTGCGAAAAAATTATTTTCCAGTTAGTAAACAAGATCTGATAACATAATGCTTATCAAAACATTTTTTTTTACAAATTCTTTTTATATAAAAGATAAAAATTTAAATTTGACATTATAATTCCATAGCAGATAATGGCTCATTTCCTATAGATTGGATAATCAAACTTCCCAGCTGATTGTGTTGGATGGCTCATTTGCTTTAGATTTGATGTTCAAACTTCCCAGCTGATTGTGTTGGGTACATCTGCATTTCAAAATAGAATTGTAGAATTTATTCAAATCTTATTTAAGTGAGATATTTAGTAGCTGATCGAGTGGGTGGGGTGCAGAGCTGAATATAATCTACTAGTCTGCCAATCTGTTTAGAACCCATTTCATATGGGATTGTGGACCCCCACTGGTATTTTGTTTTATAGTTGGAAGATCTGGTTCATCTCCTTGGCTATCATTGACATTTTATCTTTAGATTGCATTTACCCTTCAAGTCTTATTTACTGTGAATATTCTACAGTTTCTTTCCTAGGTTTTTTGCAAATGTATAGTGTGTGTTAGCTAGAGGTGGGAATCTGAACATGAAAGAGAAAAGCAATGTTGTGATGCAAGATAAAATTATTTCTAAAGTAATTTGAAAAAAAAAAAAAAAAGGAAAAGGAAATTTAAAAAATGGTTGTAAACATGTAAACATTTACCGACATGTAAACATTTACCGACATGTGAATATTTATCGACATGTGAATATTTACCGACATGGTAACATTTACCAACATGTAAACATTTACCAACATGTAAACATTTACCGACATGTGAACATTTACCGACATGTAAACATTTACCAACATGTTAACATTTACCGACATGTAAACATTTACCGACATGGTAACATTTACCGACATGTGAACATTTACCAACATACTTTGAATTAATTGCAATTATAGGAATAATGAAAAATAAGATATGTAAAGCCAATAAGAATGATACAGCTACAAAAACAATACAAATAGAGGGAGAAATGGAAACCTTTTATCCACGGTTTTATTTAGCTCACCATCATCATGGTGGGCTATTCAATCGCCTGGCATCCCTGATCCGTGGTCCGTCCATCTGTAAACAATTTTTGTTATCATTATTTCCTGAGAATCACTGGATGGATCTTTCTCAAATGGTATGTATCGGTTCCCCTTGGTCCCTAGTTGTGTCCATCGAATTTTGGTACTGATCAGTAAAAAAGAATGTCGTCAGACAGCAATCTTGGATTTTGACTTTGCAACTTTTTTATCACTATTTCTTGAGAATTACTTTATTATCTTTCTCAGATTTCTTGTATGAATTCTTTTTGTTTTGGTCCCTAACTGTTCCCATCTTACTGTGGTACTGATCAGAAAAACAAACTGGCCCACGAGTGGCCATCTTGGATTTTGACTTTGAAAGTTTGTTTTCTTTATCTTAGCTACTTCTTTATAAGTAATGAATGTATATCTCTCAAATTCCATATGTAGGTTTCCCTTTGTCGCTAGTTGTGCCCAGTGAATTTTGTGACTGATCAGAAAAACAACATGGCCGATAGGTAGCCACCTTGGATTTTGACTTTAAAAGTTTGTTATTACTATTTCTTGAGAACTACTGTATAGATCTTCTCAAATTTCATATACAGATTCCTTTAGGTCACTAGTTGTGCCTGTTTGAGTTATAGACTGACCAGAAAAACAAAATGGCTGAGAGGCAGCCATCTTGGATTTTGCGTAATAAAGATTGATATTGCTATTTCTTAAAAAGCACTGAGTAATTGTCTCAAATTTCATAGGTATGTTTCCTTTGATCTCTCCTTGTGCTCGTTTGATTTTGAGAATGATCAGAAGAAAAAATGGCTTCCAGGCGGCCATTTTTGATTTGGCAGGTAAAGATTTTCATCGCTTTTTCTGAAAAAGAATGTCCGAATGTCTTATCATTAAGACAGAGAAGAGAAAAGAATGGAAGAGATCCAACTTTCAAACAGCTAATAAAAATCAAACAATGGTGGGAGCCAAGATCCCTCTGTGATCTCTTGTAAGCACTACAAAATATTTTTTTTTCCATCACCTGTTCACAGCGAGGCAATCCGGAAATTCTTACGGTAAAGACAAAGCAAAACATGTATTGCCTTTTTGATTCTGCCGAATTCAGGAAGTGGTTACTGTTTCGCGGATAGAATCTCGCCCACCTGTGGTATCACTTTACAACCAAGACTGTCGTTACTTGACAAATGAGGAGCGTGTTTTGTATACTTCTAGGAAACATTGCGTGCGTCATTACGCGTAGATCAATGCACTTAAGGCTCTTACACAAAGCAGTGCATCTTCATTTTATGTGTGTATTTCAGAAGTCATTTAATCTTAAGCAGCGAATGCATTCTGTACATCCACAACATTTCCAAAACGTGATGGGAGTTATGTTAGAGTTTGAGGTGCTGTCTTAACATTGTTGATGATTAGATACAAATCTCCACGTGCTCACACGCAGTGTTTTATGATGTTTGTGTAATATCAAAACAGTTTGAAAATAATCAGTTAAGATCTCGAATATTACAGAATTTTGTACTCGGTATCAATATAGAGTCACGTTCCAGCTATGTTGCGGAACGAAACATTGAGTATTAAAGACACGTTCTCTTCATTTTCAGAAAAATCATTAATCATATGCAATATTTTTTATGATTAATTACATCCTTTAAACCGTCCGCTGAGTTATACCGGGAATTTTTCCCCTGACAATTTTATTTGTATAATTGTATTAATTAGTGTTATGCGCAAAACGATTGAGAACTTACCAAGAATTAACAAGCACTGATAAATCTCACCAAGTCAAGTGATTGGTGGAAAAGTCAGTCTGATTAACAATTCTATTCCGGAAGATTAAGGAAAGAAAAGACGCTTGTTTGATTATACATGTGATGTATTTAGCAAAATTATTCTTGCACGAAGTAATTTAAGAAAGTGCCTGGTAAACAGCATGTTCAATCTTGAATTAAAGAAAGTGTATGAAAAATAGTTACGTTATCAAATAGCCAAGTGTTTAAGTCACAGTAAGTCGTACAAGACATTTGTGAAATTGAAAGGGCCTGTTTCCAGTAATGTTAATTCTCCATAGGAGCCTGCCCCCGTATAATTTCTTATCTAGCTCAACTACTGTTTTTTTCTTTTCCGAAAAATAATTTTACACCTTTCCGACACCCAGATTTCATAATTTCAGTGAAAATGTATTTTTATAAAGTTGTCAATTTCAGCATCAAAGACATAAGTTCGTAAATAATAGAAGGTTATCTCGAAATTGTAATTAGCAACATAGTATAAATTTCTTTTGATAAATATTTCCAAAACATCGTGTCTATTCATAAAACATAAAAAAAAATATATTCTCGGATGAAAATGCACTTGCAGAGACACAATTATGAAGAAAAATGCCATAAATTTGCAATTTTCTCCCGTTATATACTTTTGGATGCAAATTTCCATTACAAAATCGGATAGAGCTTTACTTGTTTCATATGTGTACCAATAATCAGCTAATTCCATGTGGTGGAACGTTCTCATATCGCCGCCTGAATGTGGTTGTAAATTGAAAGAAAAGGGGAAATAAGTAACAACCTTGTCTGAAACCCTATTATATAAATTATTATATACAAACTTTTATATTGAATATCAGAGCGGATATTTTCATGACAGTTTTATGATGTGTAACGACTAATAAATAGTACCGATATAAAGATTTACACTGAGGACACCCTGATACATGAATAATGTTCTATCTCAAGTT